GGCAAATCACAACACAGTGARCCATGGAAAAAACATTAAACACTTTAACAGCAAAGGACAAAGTGCAAAACATTTTTAGAATTTCAAGTACTAGAATTTTTAAAAACATCCAAATGTTTTCTGCTATATTCTGACGTGGACAGGGTGTTTCACTGGATCCACAGTGGATGGGTGAGTGAACCTTTCAGAAGCTCCAGACGTGCCAGTCAGAACAGATTGCAGCCGGCTGGTGCTCGAGGTTGCACAGAGGGGAGGCAGAGCCTCTCCATGGGGTGACTTTCCCATTGAACAGCTTTGTTTAGCTGTTCTTGGTAATTAGTCTTTGCCTGAATTCCCAGAGTCTACTACTAATAGTCCCTTCAAAAACAGGACATCACTGGCACGTTTTAGACACTGAGAATGTAATCTGTGGAACTTTGTATATTTAGTRTGAACTTTCTGTTTAGACTTTTTATTTTTTTCATGTTTTTCCTTCATCAGATGATGTTTAGCTTCAACTTCCATGTACACATGGTATAGTCCCAATTCTTCTCAACCAGTGAAGCACAGCCAAGTATCCATGCACGGTGGGGAGGCCTCTGAATTTACCCAAAGGTAGTTGCAGCTCAGTTGAGCTAAAATTATATTTGAAGTCTGGGGCTCTGAGAGTAGCAGATGATGTGTCCACCGCTCTCTCCCTTTTCTAGTCTCCTCCCCAAGCTAAGCATCCTAATTGGATCTTGCTGGGGAGGGCTAAAACTCTGGGGTCCTTCCAAGGGCTGTTAATGAGCACAGAGGAGCACTGGGAGTTGTGGCCTGAGTTTGGTGTCAGTGTGAGGGTGGCTGCAGACAGCATCACGCTGCTCCTGTGCAACACCAGGAACTCCCCAAAGCTCCTTGACCTCGCACACAGAGCACAGAAACACACAGCGAGGTGCAGGGAGACGCACACAGAGCCAGGGGCACATCCTGGACGGGTGTGAACAGTCCCTCAGCTGGGCAGGTTCCCCTTGGCATCTGTGGAGGAGCAGAGGGTACCATTGTGACACAGGGAGATAGTCCTGCAACACCGTGAGCTGGGCCTGGGAAGCCACTCTAGCAGGAGGACAAGGAGCACTTGGGCTTTAGAAGCCTGCAGTTTGTTTCCTAGCTCCCCATCAGTGTGGAGCACTAATCACTGCCTCCAATTGGAGTTGCTTTTGATTGCTCGACACCTGATAACCTCTGGGCTAAACTGTCTCCAGGGGCAGTATTGAGCTTTTCCACCAAAAGAAACGGCACAGGAAAAAAATCTTTCTCTGAAACTAAGGAACATTGTAAAACCTGTAAAACCTTTACCTATCTGTGAAGATAATGGAAAAAAAAAATGCAGTTTTTGAAACACAGAGTGTAATAACTTACAGTTTCAATACTCTGTCTTCCCGATCATTATTATTACTGCAGATGCAGGGAAACAGGTCTGAGGTCTGGTTAATGCTCTTCAAGACTGAATAAARTTTAGAGGATTTAACTTCTTCTTTGGATATATATACAAGAAGATTGGGTACCTCTGCTCATCAATAGGGCAGTCTTTTAAAGATCCACATAATACTGGATGCTCTTTTGCTTTACATGTGAATATTTTCCTCTGCTATAAATAATAAAAYAGTGAAAACATTCTGCACGGTTTACTGGAAGGGCGGAAAAATGCATTCAGTATCAACATATAAGCAAATGGTCTATTGAAATAAAGCTTCCACCAAAGTAATATATTTTCAAAAGCGTGTTTAAATTTTATTCATAAGAATGATATATGGAATATAAAACATGTTCCAGTAAGGAAATATATTGTTCTTTGGTCAGAAAATGTACTTTGTATATTTTCTTAGCTCTGTGTGCCAAACCAAATTCCCCCGACAGCTCAAACTACTGCAACACTACGAGTTAACACTCAACGAGTGTCACAGAAAAATGTGCTAAAGATGTTTAATCACTCAATATAGGGGAAAAAATCTCCATCATGACCTACTGACCAGACATTTCTTGGCAAGCACTAATCAACTGTGTTGGCCTTTTATTGTCTATTCTACCCTTATCTTCCAGGAAAGATCCGAGCAAGAGGTCAGCGCCGCTTTAGTAGGTGCTGGTTCAGTTTTCTTCTGAGCAACAGGCTGCGGCGAACAGGCTGTTCTCTGAACGTGCAAGGCTTCAGCTTAATTATTTGGTTTGTTTATTTACTTTGGACAGCCAGAAGATAAGCATAGTTTCTGGTGGGGTCATTTTTGAGAATAATTTTCAGTGCTTTCTAGGATTTTTTTTTTTTTTTTTTTTTTTTTTTACGGTTCTATATTTGGTAATTTGTGAACTACTTTACTGAGACGTTGCAGAAGCAGCACATTAAGTAAAGGGACCTGGTTAGTATGCATTTAGGCTGTTTCTGTTCAAGGAATACTATTTTTACCTCTGCATATGCAATTACATATACATTCTTTTTCTGAAAAAGAAGACTATTTCTTGGCCTAAGGACTCAAGGCAAGGAGGAACTTTTCTATTCTGTATTTCCATTCTTTTCTAGAAATATATGAGGAAAAAGAGGGGAAATGGTCGGAAGAAATCAGCTGACAGTTGTCTCCTGTAGTGCAAACGGATTGTGTAGAATGAAGGCAATGGGAGTATGTGCTTCTAAATTCAAGTGACTGCTCCTGAAGTTCTCCATGTTTTAAAGTGATTTTTGTTTGAAAGACAGTGTTTTCTTTAAAAAGGGTTCAGTGTTCAACTTCATCCCTTCATGKGATTTTATCAAACCATTACTAAATGGTTTGCGTTGAGCAGTGGGTTTGTGCTGGGTGATGTCCAGTGTTCCCGTCCAACCTCAGCTGTTCTGTGATGCTGTGATTATATGAAGAAAAGAAAGCTTGTGAAGAAGATTATATGAAGAAATGAAAGCTGTTTTCTGCCTTCCTGGGAACGGAAGTGTCTAAGATTTGGGGGACTGTCTCTCCCTCTCTCTCTCTCTCTTGCAGTAATATTGGAAACGTTCAAATCTGTTCAAGCCTTTATGGAGGCCAACACACGTTGTTCCTTTAACCTCATCTCCAACATGGAGGCCCATGAGGGCTTTAGCAGGCAACCAAASAAGAGTTACTTTAGCTCTTATGTGGTTGCCATTGGACTCGGATTTGACCTCCTGGGGCCTTGTTGCAAGGCTATAATGCTCCTCCTTCTACACGGTACTCACTTCCAAGCTATGTGTTAAGCAGAGTGCTTACTTTGAGGTCTCTGTCTGCAAAGACAACTCTCATTCTGGTAATGTCAACTCTGACAGAGAGGAGTAACCTGGAGTCTATTCCCTGCCAATTACAGGTGTATGAGCCACCCTTTCCCTCTTCTCCCTGAAGTCTGCACCAAAGCCATCTGTTTTGTACCACTATTTTTTCATCTGGGATAATGCCTTCAACTCTGTGTTAAAACTTAAATGTTCTAGGAATTACTTTTTGAATTGCCTTGTGTAAGACAGCAGGGAAAGGTGCAAAAGAAGAGAGAATTTGCGGGTTGCAGCTGGTGCAGGGCAAGAGCAGGGAGGCATGAGGGGGCTCTGGAGAGCTGTGCAGAGCAGGGATGACCTACGGAGCAGGCACCGTTTAGCGGCACTTCTGAAAAAGCTCTGGAGCTGCTGGTGAGGCTGGACCGTGCCTCTCAGGTCTGGTGCAAGGACAGTAGGTGACAGAATTGTCTTGCCTTTAGAAGCATGCTTGTATTGATTGCACAGTACTGCCCAGCCCAGCCTCAAGGGGTGGGTTCCCAGCCTCAAGGGGTGGGTTGCCTGCCAGGTTGGCACATGTGGGCTTTGAACTGCCATGGATTTCAGTAAGAAGCTGGAGTTTTGCATCATTTGCAGAATTTAGGCTTTATACCCTGATAGTTGGATTAGGTGTTTAAAAATAAATAAAATACCCTATTTCTTGTTCGTAAAAGTTCCTTTTCACTATATTGCTTCAAAGCGGCTGTCATTGCACCGTGCTTATTTTCTGTCTGAAACTCTCTGKGACAAATAGCAGCCATCCTTTTATTTTCAATCATTGCTGCAAGGTAACTGGAAACTGCAGCTACTGGGACATGGATATCTTTTCTTTCACATGAGGTTTGTCTTCTACTSTGACTCAGGGAGAGAAACATTTGTACAGCTAATAAAACCTTTTCAGAAACAGAAATACTGTGTTCTTGTTGGATGAGTTTTTGGGATAGAACTAACATAGGGCATGTTCATTAGCGATGCTGATAGAGAGATGATGCTAAAAGGGGTTTATTATCCCCCTCATGCTGCCCACAATGTGCTTTCCTCCCAAAGGATGCTCTTGGTTGGAACTAACAACCCTTTTCATAATCAGAAACAGGCAAGTCTACTGGGTTATAGAAGCAAAATTAGGACAGAAGTATTGGCGCTAGTAAAGGTTGGCATCTTTATCAATCCCTGTGAAAGGAGAGTCTTGCAAAAGGTTTAGTCAAGGCTATAGCACTTGCCAAGGCTCTTGAGTTAACAGCAGTCAGTTTAGATTTTCTTCATCAGTTTGATGATCAAAGTTATGAAGTAATGACTAATAGCTCAGGTGTGTGCAATGAATCTTTTTTTTTTATGAAAATAACTATATATTTGCAGATTTTTCATTAAGGGATATCAAGTATTAGGTGAAAAAGAAGCATAAATCTGACAATGCAATAAACAGTTACGAACAGCCAATGCTATGGTTCTGTCTGTCCCACGAGGATTAGTATTTCACTGTATTTTTTGGCTTGTAGAAGTCATAAAACCCACAAATGCACAAGGYAAAAAATATTTCAAAAATAAAAAGTCAAAAAACCTCATTTGCTAAAACTGCCCTTTATTTAGTGTATCATTTTAATCTTAAAAACTTACTTTCAATGGCACGCAGCTTTCAGAATCAATACCCTGCTTCCGAAAACTAAATACCCGCCCTGCCAATTTGTGCTTCTCTGGTTCAGACTCTTCAATCATACAAAATAGCTGACTCTCCCTGTTCTCTATCAAAGGTTTAACAAGACAGTGCCGCAGCAAGATGGCATGTTATGGGGATCCTACTCACAAAACAGCTTCACAGCACAGTAAATACCGATTCATTAATTCCATCATAAATTAAAGCTGTAATGAAAATGTTTATATAAATACACAGTGTAGCTTTTGTGATGTAATGCCATTTCTTTCTTGTTTGTCCTTTTATAGCTCAGTTCACAAGAGCATCATTAGTGCAAATCAATAAGATTTTACTTCATAGTTATTTTGGTAGAAGCGCCTAGGTGTATTTCAAACGATGTGCTTGAGGCCAGCATAATGAGTTAATTTTCAGGGTCTGGTTTGACGGGGGATTTCTCAAGGTCTTCTGCTTCAGGGTTAGATTTCTTCTGGCTTGGGATAGCAGGTAGGACCCGAGTTGGTTTCAGAGTTTCTCCTGGTAGACCGGGTAAGAAGGAATGGAGTGAATGACTCTGAGAAAATCCTCTTCTCTGCAACCTGCAGGTTTGGGCTGGGGGAAGAAAAACTGCCCCAGTCCTTAAAGAATTTAAAGGCAGGGAGTTAGACTTCTTAACACCTTGAGGAACTTGACTAGATGGGAGCTGATCTGGAGGAAAAAGAAAGAGTGCTCAGACACTGAGGAACACAGCATTTATTCTAACAAGCTTCACATATCTCTATATTTTTTTCTTTCGGATAAGTGAACAAAGAAGAATTTAGTAGTAGTTTCAATTTTTGGGTAACCTCCTAAGCTAGGAGGCTCTAGATTACTTTTACTAAAGTTTTCACTGTAATTTTTTTAACTTGTGATCGTCTTTTCTTATTGGTGCCTTTTTACAATTCTGTTTGTGTTTCTGTTCTTACCATCCTGTTTAATAATTTTATTTATCCAAGGAGCCCCTCTGACCCTCCTTATTCTTGTTTTCCCTTGCTTTGGATGCAGCCCCCTGGTGGGTCTGTGCTTTAAAGCTACTCCAGTTCTATGCCTTCTCTAAATACAAATCCCCACGCTTGTATTCAGGCAACTCACTAATTAATTTCTTAAAGTTTGCAAAGGAGGATTTAAAACCTTAATTATAGACCTATTTTTTCCTTGCCTTCGAATTTATTGTGRATTGTATTAGCTCCTATTCAATTAGTTCTACTTTACTACAAGTGACTCCTTTGGAAGAATTTCACTCTTCATTAAAACTGAGTATAAAATAGAAAAGGTCTTATTGCCTTATTGAATTGTTGGCAAGGAAATCTGTTTTCTTTTGTGATCAAGACTATCTGAGCCCTGCCATTATTTTCCAATAAATATATTTATTTATCTCATAGTTTTTCAGAGCTTATTAATGATATATATCCCTAAATTTGCATATTTATAATACATCCTTAAATGATAATTGCAAGACCATTTTTATTCGCTCTCCTCTAAGTTATTTTCACCTAGATTCAATTTTATTCATGAATTGTTTTTTGATTTGTTTGCAGTCTACATTTCATTAATATCCTATGTTATCTTACCTAAGCCATCTTTGCAAAAAAAAGTCATTCATTTTTTTTGCCTTTTCTAGATGGTTTGTATCAATTACCACTGGTCTTTTAATCATGATACTCTTTGGTCCTGTATCTGTCATTCCTATACTGCCTTCCTCAGCATCTTGCATTTTGAGTTCCAATTCCTCCATTTTTTTTCCACAAACCCTTCACTTCCCTGTGCAAACAGGATAGTTTTTTCCAATCTAACCATATCAGAGTTCCCAAGTGGAGTAAGTGCTACCTTGGCACGGAATCTTCCTTGCCTTTTTTCACATTAATTTTTCCTTTGTTGCACTCTTATTCCATCAATCTTTTCTGTTCCCCATCATCTGTCGTGYGGAATATATGAGATTCTGCTAAGGTTTGCACCTGAGAGGATGTTCTAGTCTTAGGTTCACCGTGCCAGTCACGGCCGGCTCCAGGAGGTTATTTGGATTCTTTGGCTAACCGGTGGTGCCATCATTTCCAATGACCCACAAGTGCTTCCCAGTGGTTCTTCACATGCAGGAAGAATCCTACTATTAAAAAAAATCCCAAAAGGATGTCTCTTTATTCCTGACATTATCATTCCATTTCCTTGAGTCTTTATGTTTTTCTTTTTCCTGACATCTCCTTTGTTTATTCCTTTTCTGTAATCTCTGACAGAAATTTTCCTGGTGTAGATTCTGATAAATTCCACAGAAATAAGGAATGAACAAGGATATTCTCTCTTAAGTCTCGAAAGGAAAGGAAAGGAAAGGAAAGGAAAGGAAAGGAAAGGAAAGGAAAGGAAAGGAAAGGAAAGGAAAGGAAAGGAAAGGAAAGGAAAGGAANAAGGAAAGGAAAGGAAAGGAAAGGAAAGGAAAGGAAAGGAAAGGAAAGGAAAGGAAAGGAAAGGAAAGGAAAGGAAAGGAAAGGAAAGGAAAGGAGAAGGGAAGAGGACTTGAGGCGTTTCAGATTACTTAACTAAACCTTCAAACCTATAAAAACCTTCCTGCACTTAGTGTTTCTCTGGAGTGGACCTCTGAGCCTATGAAATCTGCCTTCTCACTGCTCATTAAGCAATGCCGAAAAAAAGACTGGGGCATTGACTCAGTGGATGCAGAGGAAGTGAGAAATTTTAACACAGTTTTAACAAGGAAGGAGTGTTAACTTTGTCACAAATTATCGTAAAGAAAATAAGGTAGATCCATTACAGTAACATGAACACAGAGCTAATGGGAGAGATGTGCTCAAAGGGCAGTTGTTTCAACAGAGATCCTGTGGAGGATTCATTGCATTCATTAATAATGGAAATGAAAGGTGCACTTATAAAAATCTGAAGATGGCAATAAATGGGGAAAGGTTGCAAAGACGCTGAAGGACAACTTTATAATTCAAGATAATCTTGATAAAGAGGAGAGATAATAAGAAGTGTAGATAATGAAAGTCCACAAAGACAAATGCAAAGCACTGCACTTAGAAAAAACAAGAAAAATCACAAGCACCAAAAACCCAAATGCAAAATGGGGAATAATTGGCTAGGGAAGTAACTGTCTTGCAGGTAACTAGAGACATAGACTGTGTCCAAGTCAGAAATAGAGGGCAAAAGCTGAAGCAGAAACCCTACAGCTTTGCTGGCTTGGCAAAGCACACACAGAGGTCTTGTCATGCAAGCCCCACTGTACCTCAGATTACCTAGTGGGCACTGTGGAAAAACTCTGTGTCTCCGTGGTTTGGTTTTGGTTTGTTTCTTTTTACTAGATACCTGGTGCAAAAGAGGCTGAAGTTCTTCTTGTCACCTGCTCATGTACTATCTATCATATAGTCACTTTGACTTTCACTRTGTATTTAACAGGAGCAGTAACTCTCTAAGACTCACTAAGGTTCCTGTTTGGGGCAATGATTTAAAAATTTGCAAGTTCTTTTTCCCCCTTTTCAGGCTAATTTCAATACATAATTCAAATGGTGATGGCTTGACCAGGCAGTTCGGAATTAGAGCTGCCTGACATTTGGCAATTCAGTATAATCCATGGGTCATATTGAAGGTTCATTCATATTCAGTTGTAATTCGGGAAGTGGCTTAGTTCTCCTTCGTAAGAAAAAAAATATACCATCAATCTTTAGTTTGCAGTGAGTTTGTCAGGAGAAAGTGCAATAGCTCAGTTCATTATAGATTATTTAGTTCATTATACAATATTTAGTTCATTATATTTTGTGTTCTTTGAAATTAAGGCATGAAGACCATATGCATTTTGAGAGAGTCACCTGTTTCCCTCTTTGGAGCATAGGCTCATGTTCATCCATTTGAAATTTCCACCCATGTGAACAATCTCCAGAACCTTTCCGTACTGGATAAATCCTTTGTGATGTGTTTAAGTAGAGCATAAATAGTTTAGTGTAATCTCTCCTTGATGCACCAAGTATCCACCACGAACTGATGTTTCTTTAAAGAAAGGAAGAACAGCTCCCAAATTCCGTTGCTGTCCGTCTGCTCCTGCACACTGTATTTAGAATTTTCAGCTTAGGATGTTAGGATGGAATGATTTCAGGACTGGGGACAGGGATGACTTTAAATCCTATATAGTGACATATAATGACAGGTATTAGTATTTGTGTTGCAACGTGAGAGTCAGGATCCAGACCTGGGATCTGTGAGGAGCAGAAGCCCAGTGGTGGTTCCCCGTCAAACCAGAAGCTATGCACAGGAAAAGTGTCTGCAGTAATTCCTATTCAGAGGGTGGAGTYGGCCGCCCAAGGAGGAATTATACTCAGGGAAGCTTTTTTGCTCKGCAGTGACTCAGGAGTGAGTAAACCCCAGAGACGGGAGTAGCTCTGGCCGGGGTCACTGCCCAAGCCCCACACCCCAGCAGTGCCCTCGGGGAGGCACTGCCCCAAGCCGTGGGTCCCTGCAATCAGGAGGGCGCTTGGTGGGCTCCTTTGCTGCCGACTTGGGAACGAAGACACTTCAAATTGTGAGGAGCAGTGGCCCATGCAACACTGATCCCCGTGTTATTAAATGATCACCTGAAACAGGTTTATTGTTTAATAGGCGATAACCTCCCCRTGGTTTCAGACCTTGCGTGCCACATGAAGAAGCAAGAGCTCGCCAGAAGTCCCGTAGTGGTTTGGGAAACGTTTCTGGCACTATGTGAGCTGTGTGCAATAGCAGCAACTTAGCTGTCCAGGAGAGAGCTGCATAACGAGCTAGGAAGTGTGTGAGTGTGGGTGGAGGATAGCTGAGGCCAGGTCCCGCTGAGCCTGCGCGCGGGGCAGCACTGCTTCGCCCCGGAACATATGAAGGGTGGGTATCTATAAAAATGGTTTATTCACCCAAAGTCACACAGATGTTCTTTCTCAAGGGTACTGTTTTATTGTTGTTAACTGCTTTCTAATATATATTTTTAAAGGTTTTTTTGCTTGGAGGTTAAAGCATCTCTTCCTTTTTTGTTGCCCTTCCTTTTTTGGAAGATGTTTCTTCTTTCTGTTCATTTTTAACCAGTTTCAGTTCTCCTTCTAATTTATGCTTATCTTTCTAGCTCTTTTTAACTGGTTTAGTTGCAAGTTTTTAGCAAACAGAGTAATAAAAATATTAGAAAAAATGAAGTGTTTTCACTCAAACGTCTTTGCATGAGCCATTTTCCTGGGTAAAGGCTGTGTCCAAGAACAGTAATATTTTAAGGGCTGTAAGGAKGGTGAGTGAAATCTTGGCTATGAAGTAGTTATTTGGAAAGCTCAAGGATCAAATGTCTTATTTGTGTTAGCAAAGGAGAAATGCCATCTATTTTTTTTGCAAATAACTTTCCTTTTCTGCTGTTGGCAGCTACTGATGTTCAAGCAGTAGCGGCACCTGGATAAATGCACTGGTACTGTGTTAGTTAATTCCTCCTCTGGCGATGGTTATTAGCTGTGATAATTATATCTTACTTGCAGAATATATTTTTTGGCATGTGACTGGCACTAAAACCCTGCTGTTCATATATATTACTACAAGAACACCAGTGATTGTGAAATCTTTTTTTTTTTTTAGGATTATGCTTACAACTGTGCTTTAGCCAGAAGCAGAGAACACTGGTAGCAAGCTTAAAAATAGAAAGAATATTTGGGGTTTTGAAAGCAGCTAGATTCTTTCCTTTTCCTAAGCAAGCAGAGAACACCAGCTCAGTGCTCACATCTCCGTATTGCCTGGGAGCTGGATTCCGTGCTCTCCAGAGGTGCCTTCCCACCTCAGCCACTCCGTGACTCTGGGAAAAAGGAACCTGAGCCCCCCGAAAGCCCTCAGATGTTGAACGTGGGCACAGCTGGTCCTGGCCCCRAGACAGGCCTGTACTTACTCGTCTGAGCGCAGTGGCTGTGTATGGGGGCTAAGCTGGTCCTGACAGGAGTAGCAACTTCTGTTGTGGACTGATCTAAGGACATCTGTTGAAAACGTTTACCTGTGAAATAAAGAGATAATCTATTACCACAATAGCTCTCTGCTTTACAGAAAAAAAATTCATTTAGCGTTACTCAGAAATATGAGGGGAACCTCTGACAGAAGAGGTTTCTGGGGGCTTTTTGTTTTAGCCTTTTAACACCTCTGCAAGGTTATTGCAAGGTGTGTGTAAAGGATAGTGTCTTTCATCCACATTGCATCTACTGTGCACAAAGAAATACATATATCAATTCTAAAACAGCAGAGAATCAACTGCCGCTCCCATTAGTATCATCTGAATTATATTGGTTTTATTGCAGTACTTGCAAACTAATGGCTTATTATGAATGCAGCATTAAGGTTTTGATGTAGAGAGGTATCTTCTCCTGAGAGGTCCCTTTGCTTCATAACCGGGGCGCTCTGGCAGCAGCAGAGAGCACAAAGTGTTTGCAGGGCTTTCAGGAATGCCTGGAAGAGACTCCTTGTCTGCGAGTCCTGGCAGCGAGGGCAAGGATTCTCCTGCTCTTCCTTCCTATCTGCTCCACATAATATTAAAGAGGATTTTTCTTTCTCTAAGGCATCATCTTTGTCACCCCCAAGAGTGTATTTATGATGGCATTTGTTTTCATATGAAATGGAAAGGAAGCATTTTCTTGGTTGTAAAATGCAGGACTTTTCTGCATTTTATTAACTGACATTTTTTACAGGTTGTTACTTGGTTTTCCTCTGCGTCTAGGTATATAACCCTCCCCACCCCTCCATTATGGCGTTTTGTGGGGAAAAGAGTAAATATTATGGTCAATGGGCCCCATAAATCAGCCCTTCAGTTTGAGAAAGACACTGCCACATTGATCAGCTGAAGCCACCCTAGCCCTGCTGGGTTAGCAGCCTAGGCGAGGAGCGGGTGACAAAGGGGGGCTCTGCATGGTTAGCGGGCGGTAAGAGCTGCTGGGCCTTCCAGACAGGCCCCCCTTTACCCCATCCCTTCCAGTGTCTCCATGTGCAGTGTTTCTCCTGTGGCAGGTCTGTGATAGAGCATCTTGCAAAAAGGGATGACCGCAAAGCTCGTCACAGCAAAGGCCCCAGCCCGCGATGCCAGCGCAGCCCTGGGGCTGGCAAAGGCTCCTCTCCTCTTGCAATACGGGCAGGAACTTGGGGCCTCCCCAGCAGAGAGCAAACCCAAGTGTTTATTCCAAAACACACCAGCGATGGGAGAGCCGAGGCCTCGCTGCTACCTACAGCAACCTCCCCCTTCTGAATCCGTGTCGGCTCTCAGGTAGTAAATTGATTCAACTTTTATTTCAGAAGCTCAGAAAACAGAACAAAMCCCCCCTCCAAATCCCTATCTTTATGCCAGCTGTCTTAGCAGCAGTAAGCACAAAAAAACCCTCCGACTTTATTAAAGGCATGGACATGTTAGACAATCAAAACTGTGTCAGCTGAGAAAATAACTTGTAGAGTGACTTCTCCTCAATTACTGATACCCTTTGGCCTCTCCTGGGTGTCCAGTGACTGGGAAGTTCCACTCAGCCGCCAGGATCCCGCAGGCGCACGCGGATTTAAGCCACGCACGGAGGCGTGAGGAGGGATAAGCAGCAGTTTTTATCGTGAACGCTKCAAGACAATATCTGGGTTGTGCAATGCATTCCTGTCAGACACTCTCTGCCTCTTTGCATACTTTTATTTTACTCACTTTGCTGGCAGCCCTTTTTGCCAGCTCCGGGAAGCTTTTTATTTCTGGAAAGTTTTGTTCGAGGGAGGTGGTACACACAGAACTTGCCGCAGACTCAACCTTTTTTTCTGAAGTAAGTAAACTATCAGAAATAGAAGGAATTATTCTTCTTTTGCACAAAGGCAGTTCTCATTGTGACAATTAGGTTTCCTATAATTTATATGATTTTGTTCTCATCCTTGCCTATAGATTATTGTACCTATGTGAGCCTCAGTGCCGACCATGAAGCACCGAGTAGATGCCCAGGGCCTATCCTGATTCCTTTGCCTGCGTGGGACTTTTATCTTAGAAGATTCTTAGAAAACCTCCTGTCCTTCCATCCAGAATTAAGGAGGATTTAACTATACCGTATTCTASATTCTTAAGAAAAGCCTGTTGGGACACGAGTGGATTAGCTTAGTGCATATCATTTGCCCTTAGGAATGGAGCCTGGAGGTTGCTTTGGCTTGCTTCATTCCATTTGGGATCAGGGCGGTGTGAGGGCCTGCTAGCCTGTGTTTAATTTTCAGCGTGTGACTAAGCCAGGCGGAGATGAAGCTGCAGACACTGCTATGTTGAGGTAAATTTCTGCCTAGAGGGCTGCCAGGCAGATTAATTTAGACACGGGTAAGAGTCAAACTCAGTACTAGATGCACAGTTTGCCCCAGCATTCTGATGCGCAGCTTCATTATTGTTCCAGTGCAGCTTCCAAGCCACAAAGTAAAAGTATTTACTCTGCAAATTTAGCAACCTGAGTTCAGCCTTGGAGAAAATACAGCCCATGAAACCCAAGAGCTTTACATTCAGCAGAGGGAAGGGGGTGACACTGCAGCCTGGAGTCAAAACCCGTCTGCAAGAGGAAAGGGGAGGGCGRTGTGGAGCCCTCTAGCCCCGCACATGTGGATGGGCTTGTTTGGACCCAGAGCCTGTTCCAGGCACAGCTGCAGGTGTGAGAGCAGCACCAGCCCCGGCACATCCAGTTCCATGTTAAACTGGATGTACAGGGCATGGTGGGAGGCTCCTGCTCCCAGGGCATGTGCGTGACCTGCAGGCACCTCCCTTCCTTGCATGGGGATGTGTTTGCTACCTACCTGCACTTCTGCTCTGAGGCATTAGCAGCTCTACTGAGGTCTCCTGTTCCCCACACTTGAGCTCCTGGCATCAGCTGTCAGCCAATGTCCTGTTTATACATTATTTATACATTTACTACATACAGGGAGAGGACGCTGAGGAGGACATTTAAAAAACAGGAATAACATGTCTCAGACTTACCTGTTTCCCTGGGTCAAGCTACCCAGCTTGACACCTCAGTAAATGTTAGAGGGTGTGGAACACTGAGAAGAAACAAATTACCTGATGGAGAACTGGGAAGTGAGGGAAGGCGAGGAGGGCACAAAAGCAAGTGGTGGGATCTGTCAGAGCTTAAGGCATTTATCAGTTTGTCCGAAGAAGTTCCTGCACAGACTTTGTAGGAGAGGATTTGGTGGGAATCTGCGCTCCACGGCTCATTCAGCAAAGCCTGGCAGCTGCTTCGGGGCTCTAGCAGGCTGTGTTCGCTCCTGCTCTTGTGAGACCTGTGTGCGAGGCGGTGGCTGCCGGTGCTGCCGGAGCAGAGGCTCGAGGCCGGGCTCTGGGAGGCCGTTAGGAAAGAGCTGCCCACGGTGATTGGGGGGAGGCTCTGCGTTCGAACGGGCAGGAGTCTGTTGCACTCGGGCTGCTTCTTGCCAGAGATGAGGCCCTTCTTCGTGTCTGTGCTCCGTCTCTTCAAGTCAGCAGGGGCCATGCGGTCATCTGGAAGGTCTTTGCAGCTTGGGTCCATAATGCAATCAAAAGTGGTGATGATGTCATCCACTTCCGAGGTCTCCTCTCCTGGGTGCCGGTCTCTGCTTCTGTCCTTCTGGGTGGTTTTCTGATCCTCTCTCTTCTTTTTGCAGGAAAAGATGTGGTTCAGCATGCTGAACCTGCCTTCCTTCTTGAGGAGTCTGTCGTTCTGAGGGGGAAACTGATAAACTGGCTCAGATCTATTGAGAGTACAAATCAAATTCTGAGGTCATTATTTACCAAATAATGGAACAAATATTGTCTGCTTCAGCCCACAAAATTAGGTGATTACTATTCTGATACATTTGCAGGGGTGATTCAAGCAGGCAGAAAGTCAGGACTCTGCATTTATTATTAACAAAAATGTGAAAACGGCCACATGTGGCTTTTTCTTCTTATGGGGCCAATGCCTTTAACTCATCTTACAGTGCAGGCTCAGTGCAGCTATCAGGAAAAAAATAATAAGTGTTTTCTGGCTTCAGCATCTACCATCTGCAGAAACATTATTTCTAATGGTGAGGCAGGAGCCAATAATAACAAGAAGAGCATGCTGGGATCTTTAAAATCACTTGGTCTTTGTATTATGTCATATTTGGAAAATTGTATTTCCAACAACACAGGCATTGCTAACCCTGTGACAAGCAATGTTCAGCCCAGGGAGTTCCTGCCTTCTACTTTTCCTCGTCTCTCCTCTCCTCTTTTTCCATCTACAGTACCCTTAGGATGTCTTTTGGAGGTCACTGACCCATGTAGTGAGCAGGCCTGGCAGAATTTCAGAAGACTCATCAAGATAATTACCTAAAGTGGTGCTGCTGCTGCAGCAGGTGTTGGATGAAACCTTTGACTCATAATCAACATCTCAGAGCTACTCGGACAGACCGAGTGCAGCAGCAGGAGGAAGAGGAGGAAAGGTAACGTTGGCCATAGCTCATCATTTGTGACCCAGGAAATAACACTGACTGCTGACTGGAATGGAGGGGGAAGCAAAGAAATCACAAAGAAATGTGATAATAAAAAGTCTCTTTAAAGGCATGCTTATTTACCAAAGCTGGAGTATAGAAATTAATAGGGACCACTGAGAAGTCAGAAATATCAAGAGAAAGTAATAAGCAGTGGTATTTTTTWAAAAAAACAGAAAAGATGTGGAAAAAAGAGGTGGCAATCAAGAGAACTGAAGGTGCGTAGGAAAATACCCCCGAATCTTTATCCTGAGGATGACAGCACGAGAAATCTAAGTGTGATCAATTTATATTAGAGCTGGCGAAATGACTCTTGTGCTTGGTCAAACCCTCTGTCTGATCACATGAAYACACAGCCAGTGTGTGGGGACTGCAAAAAAGGGAAGAGCATGTATCTGAGGTCTGCAATTGTCCTGTAAGATGCATTTGGTGCACAGAGGTGACAGAACACCAGCTCTACCTGCACCTTCTTGATTCAGACCCCTTCACTGAGGGCGGCAGGTGAGCTCTAGCAGCAGCAGCGAGTCCTTCAGGAGATGACTAATGCCAACACGGCTGCTTGGTGGAAGCTTCGAGCTGAGCACTGCGGAACACTGAAAAGGCGTCACCGAGAGCGCAGGCACTCCAGTGGCACAGAAAAGCAGGGCCTTTCTTTCCTAAGTCAGGGCCAGCACGTGAGCAAGCTGTGACCTTGCGGGCTGTTCCTACCTGTTCTCCTGGGAGAGCAGCTTGATGCACGCTGTGTGCCCGCAGTACACGGCGTAGGAGAGGGGGGTGTTCTCGTTGATGTCCCGCGGGCTGCTCTCTATGCCCAGCTCCAGCAGGGTCTGCACACAGTCGGCTTTCCCCGCGGCTGCAGCCCAGTGCAGAGGTGTCCTGGGGAAAAGGGGGAATGTCATTAASGAGCATCAGTAATTTTCCTATTGGAAGCATTAGTGACACAATGCAGTGGGCTCCTCTGCTGCTTATCCCGCATTCTCAACATCGATTTTAAGGAATTCTGTGGCCACTTGTCCTGCTCTTAGGTCACTCCCAGTAGTTCCCACTATTGGGAACCACTGGGGAGGAAGCTCAGAGATGACATCTATCTGTGTGCATCTGTTTAGCTGCAGTGAAGCATCCAGCTTCAAAACTGTAATACTTTGCTCTTATATTACTGCTTACTTTTTTTTTCAACATAGAAAGTCTGTGAAGCACAGAAAGTAACATGATGAAAACTGCAAGAATAAAGAATAAAGAATAAAGAATAAATTTAACTTTTCTCAGCCTGTCCCTTGCAATCCCACTGATTTTAAGACTGGTGTAGTTGGAAGGATAATTGAATGAAAATCTCTAGTGTATTTATAGTGAGCAGTTCTATCTTTTTCTTTCCTCAAGTACGATCCCTCTATGGAAATAACTGAGAATATGTAATAGAAGGTCATGTCTTTATTGAATTCTGCAGTGTATTCTGCAGTCCTTCTTTCTCTCTTATGATAAAAACAGCCTTCTCTACTGCTTTTTACTGATGTTCAGACTTCTCCAGAACCCTGTTGATTTTATTTCTGTTCCATTTTATTGGACTTCTCCATGAAGAATGTTATTACTTTAATTACCTGAAGATCTAAGCCAAGAAAACCTTGGCTTATGCTCCACTGAGCAGGATACATGAGACAATTTTGATGAAAGCATCAGAACTGCAAGTCAATTCATTCTATTTTCATGACACTTAGGAACAAAATTGCAAGGGACACTGGTATGGCATGTAAAAGAGGAGAGAAGAGGAGTCTTCTGCACTTATGATGCAGGGATTTCATCCTGGAAGGCACCATGTACCCTGTGAGAATGGAAGATGAGGTTGTCCAGGGCTTTAGAAATACTGCATTAACACTTCAGTTGTAACAAGGGAATTTTACCATTTGTTGAATGCAAACAGCAGCAGGAGCCCAGCCTCAAGCTGTAGGATCCTGTCCTACTGTTTTGATGGAGCCAAGTTCAGTCAAGCGGTGATGAGGTCCTTTCCCACATAATCTTATCACTTCCTACCAGGAACACGAAGCTCAATAACCTTCTGACAAGTCAGTTACCATGCTAGACGTCACGCAGGTGAGATGGGCTGCTCTGCAGGGTGGCCGAGCCAGCACCGTCCCTCTGTGTGTGTGTGCGGTGCCTTAACTGGGTCACGGCTTCTGCAACAGGAAACGCGACTCTAGAATCAGCAGAGCTCGTCTCAGCTCACCAGAAGGGAAGGAGCAGTTGCAGAGAGGGCCTGTGGTTACCTGTCATCCACATCGAGGGCCTGCAGGTTGCACTCGGGCACTTTGGCCAGCGCGCGGATAATGTCGCTGTAGCCCGCAGCAGCAGCAATGTGCAGACATGTTTTGCCATTCTCATCGTCGTAGTTTATTATCGAGGGGCCCTGGTAGTGGTCCAGGATGATGGAGCACAGGATCCTGTTGCCGCTCTGAGGAGAAGTTCATAGAAGAGCRTTTTACAATGGGGCTCACGTCAAGCCACGTTCTGTCTGCAAGAAAAGACTAAATGCAAGAAGGGTATTTTGTTCTGTCTAAACCCGGCTCCCCTGATAGGAAAGCCAAGGGCTTCCCGTCTCCTGCTGGAAATGAGGCCTTTATGATTTTCCTAGAACTCTCTGAACATTGGAGAAATAATAAATATTTCCAAAAGTTAAAGAGTGTAAATTACTCAACAGCCTTCTCAGAAATAGCTTTATTTTTTTTCCTCTGTTTTACTAAGCCAGGGTCCAGAAAGATATGGCCCTATATTTTCTCACCGAAACGCAGAATTGGAAGAGAACTCAAAAGACCAAGCCACTTCTGTGAGCCTTTCCAAGTGTACCTAGAAAAGCCATGTCAAATATTTGCTTTAGTGGTTCTTAAATTTTTTTCATCTAGCTTGCTGCAGTGCTTCAGTGTCTTAATAGAAAGTCTACGCTGTTCTCTAACCTTCAACTGAAGCTGAATATTTCATATCTTATCTCAGTGTGAACAGAGAAAAAAACAAACATGAGTCTAGATATTCTTTTTCATGTAACAATATAGAAACATAAACCTGAAAGGTCTTTCCAGGTCTTCAGATTCAATCTGTGCAGTCAGTTGCAGGAATGTCATGTTATCTCTTTCATGAAAACACTGTGTCCATTGAAGGTAGTTTTGTTATTTTTCTGGTTTTGTTTTTCCTATCTTTCTGGTTTTGTTTTTCCTATTACTCCCACTGGAAAGCAGTTCAAGAACTAGTTTTCCTTGTAAAATATGCTCTATATTTCTCTGATCTACCTACTAACATTTTCCTGTTATGTTTACTACGTGTTTATCCTTGGAGAGGCATGATTAAAATTGTACATACTGATACAGACACGTTTTTGCCATATCTTTGTACATGGACACAAACTCCTTCATATTCCTTTTAGGAATAACCTTTGGGGTTGTCACACAAGAGTGTTTGCCGTGCGCCCCATTAGAAGTTCCTGGTCATTTTGGATAACATGTCACAGGAGATACCTCTGTAGTCATTTCCAAATGTGGAGTTTCTAGTTTCTTTGTTATTAGTCCCAAGGTGAATGAGTTAAGCATTTTATGCTATTCAGTTTTGTCCTGTTTGTGTTAYTCCAGGTTTTTAACTTGATCCAAACTTTCCTGTCATATCCCAATCCTGTTCTCTTAATACCACCTCGCTTATTGTCATTGGCAGATTTTATCAGAAAATACTTGTATTTTCTATCAAGTTGTTATTAAAAAGATAAGCATTGATTTGAAGCCCTATCCATGAAGGTAATTTCTTCCCAGCCTCTGTTCATTGGTAATTACTACTCTCCACTTCTTAATCTCTGAGATCCAGCTTTTAATTAGTTTTTCCCAGTATTTTTAAGATGTCTACCTATTCCAAATAGATCTTTTAAATAAAGTTATCCAAGGTAGGTATATCTCAAATCTCTTCTATACATGCTTTCCCTTCTCTTGGGTTATGGATTCCTGCTAATTTGACCAGCACTGATTTAAGACATTTCAGACCTTTCCAAATAAAAGCTCTCAGTTCAGGCGACTTCAGTAAGGAACTCTCTTAATTTTATCAAAAATTCTCCCTTTGAAAGCAAAACCTATTGCAAGATACACAGGATGCTACCATCTGTCAAAACCAGTATAGATTTATTAATACTCATATTCTAATGGCACTACTACATCTCTAATTTTTTATTATCCTTCTAAGCCCAAATTTTGCATCCTGCACCTAAAGTTTCAGCCCCTCAATAAACTTGCACAAGCCCTACCATTTGCATAAGAACTTTTCCACCGTTCTTACTGACATTTCTTTATATACAGACTGTTCTGTCCCACAAATCTTCCATTTTCTAGACTAAACAAACCATTCAACCTCTCCTCGTAGGTCAGATTTTTCAAGGCACTTATGGGTGCCTTTGGCTTCTTTCCAGTTTGTCTGCATCCTGGTTCAACCATGGCAGCCCAAACGGGACTTAATTATCCAGCTGAGGCTTCCCTCCTGCCATTGAAAACGAAATAACTACTTGCTGTATCCCACTTCTGTTAATGCATCCCACAATGGTGTTTTGATGTTTGCTTTGCAGCAGAACCATAATTTAAACTCCTACTCACTATGTAATCCACGAAGTCCTCTCTTCTTTCATGTAACACTTTTCATTGTTCTGTTCTGAGAGTTACTTTACTAAGTTCATTCTACAACTTATCAAGATCACTCTGTATTTCATCTTCCCTCCTTAAGTGCTGGGCACCTCTCTGCTTTTTTAGCAGCCGGTTGTAAACATGTGTTCYGTAGCTCAGCACTTCACTAAGGAACAAATAAATTCTCAAGGTATATCCCTGGTCGGGTGTTCATGAGATGTCCACCTCTGAGGAGTATCTGAACGCTCCTCCATGTTGCTGATAGTGGATATATGATGTATGACATAAGACACAGATGACCTTTGATCATCTAGCCCCTTCTAATCCATTCCCAATGGGAGACCTCTCTTTACACGGCACAACTGACTTATTGACATTCAAAACCTTTCTGTCCAATAGTTTCCTATATGAGGGAGCAGTAATTGTGTCAGAGATGGCTGTTAGATTCTGTCCTGTTCTATTTGTTAAATAYACTTTTCCTAAATAATCAATGGAGACTTTCTGATATTTTGAAGCTTCTGCCGACAGAGATCTCTGACTAACCTCCGTGTGGCTTTCCATCTCTCTCTTCCTAGGGGTGTCTTCTCATTTTACACTCATATTGGCTCTTTAGGTTGCACACAAAATTCTCTTGAAATGCCTAGATTGCCTTATTCTGAGATTGATAGCTTGAGGTCAACAAAAGTCTTCCTGTGGTAAATTTATGATGAACCCACAAAACTATTGTTAGAACAGCATGTTCAATGGTAAACTTACCATAGGAAAATAGCTTGTTTTTGCAGCCTCTGCTATATGTATCCTTACATTTCATCTCCCACCACTGTTTTTTCTTTCACATTATTTTCAGCAACTTTCTCAGAGATTATTAGATATTTTGGGTTTGTGTTTCTGTGTCATTCTGGAGTGTTTTGCCCCAAGCTCACCTCCGGTTTCTTTGGACTTTTGTCCTATCCCACATCTTTCAGTGAGCTGTTCTTTCTTAGGTCACTCTTATCAGTTAAACGTGCTTCATGAAGAAGTGTCCTAAAACCTTGACCGTGGAGCCACTGGCCAGACAGTTAAACTCTCATTGTGCTTTACACAAGCTTTGTCTGAGAAAAAAATGTCTGATCTGTGGGCAGTGGCTAATAGATTCACTTACATGGGGATGATTAGCTCTCATTTTCACTTGACTAAAACACCATTGCTTTACTTGGTTAATATAAGGTTCAACTTCTGATAGTCCCATCTCAGTGCTTGCAAAATAAGAAAATATTCCGTCAAGAAGTATCCACCACATTGAATACCATGTGGAAAATCTTGCATGTTTGGGCTGCCCTTTTAGTTTCTGACATTTTTTTTCACCTACACCTGCTCATTTTATTCTCATGTTTATTGTAGCTGATCTCATAATTCCTCCCTTGAGTACGTCCACCTGGTATATAGAGATGGAATTTTCTTTCTGTTGTGTTCATTGTCACTTAGGTAAGATCCTGCCACAACATGGCATTTTATCCTGCCAGGGCTTCAGAGGGTTAATTTTTCCCCACCTCAGAACATTCTGGTGAAGTGGATATTGCAGTGCCAAAGAGAAAGAACGTGCATATGTCAGGGAGTCTGCTAGCGTGGCTTGTGGCTACCAGTAATGCAGCAATGGGAGGGAGAGAGAGGCAAGTTATGGACCACTTAACTACTTTCAGGAAACCCTGACAAAGTATTTTTCCTCCCAGCGAATGCCTCTGGAGATTATGTGGTTGGATTGTATTAGTTCCTCTCTATTTTCTGTCTCTTCTCATCAGTGTGCAGCTCAAAGTCTTCCCATACCTAYAGTCAGCTTTGCTGCAGGGAAATTCCCCACTACAGCTCTTCATATTGCTCCTTATCAATGTCAATTCACTTTAGGGCTGTTTGTGTTCCCTATTCTCCCTCCTTCCCTCCTATTTCCATTCTATACCTGTGAATCCCAAACTTTGACTTTCTCTTTGATGCTCTTCTGCTCTCACAGCCTCAATGACTTGCCATTTTGGCCACCATCTCACTGCTCTCTGCAGCAACAAGCAAATACCATTCCCACGGCGCTACTCTGGGGTCTAACTTTCTAACTTTTACTTTCATAAAGAAACATCATAAATGAGTATGTATTTAATAAAATTGCACCAGTACCTCTGCCTTCCTCCTGGAAACCAAATATCTGCACCCCTGGGTGATACTTCAGTTGTTCATTACAAGCTAGCAAGTGTCCCAACCTTTGTACCTTTTCTCTCATCCCTTGCAAACTTTTCCTGGTCACCTACATTTCTTTTCAGGCTCATATAGCATAGATTTTATAGCATTATAKTAGATTTATAGCATGGTTTAATAAAATTTTGATTGTTTTAGCAAAAGGGACCCTGGAGAAGAAAGGAAAGCTGCTTTTCTCCTTCACTGAGATAAAGAAACACGAGCAATTTCACATATTTATAGAGTAACCTGTAACAAAATTTTAACAAATAACTTATGGAGTGTTTTCCTTTTCCAACTCCAGTTAAGGTTACTACATTGGCAAATACATCTCTTTCAAAGGCACCTTCTTTTTCTTTTTGAATTTCAGTATTTACTGAGTACCAAAGCTCTTGCACAGACTTTCGCCATAYGGCTCTTTTGGTCGAGGTTTGCAAAGTTGTGATCCTTGACTCACAGCTTTGCTGGCAGAAGCCCTGCGTTCAGTTACAGCAGTACTGGCAGAACCAAACTCTTCCTTCAGCTGTTTTTTTCTTTTTGGGATTGATTTCACCAAAGTTGGACTGTCCTGGTATTCATGCTCAGAGCACTAGGCCTGTGCATTTTATCATTACCTCTATTGTAGCAGGAATTCAGAATTTCATCTGGAGCAAGACAAACTTAATGTTGCACTAACAGTGAGGAAAGGTCTGTTTGGAATCAGGTATTAAGACCATGTCAAAGCATCACCTCACCCTCTCAGTGTAGGTGACATATCCCCGTGAAGGAATTCTCTCTCCCTCTGCTGARCAGAAGTCATGTGTGCTGTTTTAAACCTGGAGAATGTGTCAGTAAAACCCAGAGACATAACAGACTAGAGAAGGCTCCTGAGCTCATATGAGAACATGTTCACTCCATCTCTGMTTTTGCCCCATGCTCTGCCTTCTCGTTGACTGTGGTGGCTGCAGAGAAAAAAAAATGGTTGATCCCGGTGGTTTCTCTGCACTCGGAGGAAAGGCGAGCTTGGCCTCGTGCTGGGCAGAGGAATGATCCTTAACGCCATCCCCAGCTTTCGTTCTGCCAGTGCAGCTTTGCCAGAAGTTGCCTGGACACAGCCCAGGCGCTTCCYGGGGTGTGTTTGTGATGGCAAACCAGTATAAATTAACAAGAACTCTACTGACGCCACTCTAGTTACACTGGTGGGCCTCAGCCAGCTCACAGAGGAGCTCATTTGTCTTCTCCCAACCTTTCTGCTTCAGCCTCAGCACCCATGGAGACAGTGTCTCTCACAGATGCCCAGTGTCCCGGTTTGGCTTGACTTTTTGGTACTCTTGGAAAGGGAACATGTTGTTGTTGTACAAGGTACTTTGTCCTGAGCTCCTCAGAGCACTGCCTGCCATTGGTGTGACTAGGAGACATGGCTTTTCCAAAAGATTTATTCTCTCCTCAACCACTGTGGTGTTTGGAAAAAGCTACCAAAGAGGAACAGAGCCATGGAGGCAGATCTCTGCAGCCAACGTATCTCCTTGTCCCTCTTACCTTGGCTTCGCTCAAACAAAAGAACTGCATGAAATACCGGCCCAGTCTCTTTGAGAATTTATTTTCACCTGGGCCCTTCTATAATAAGTCAATATAATTTACTTTGTACTATGGCTARGACTGAAATTACTTGGCAGCTTTTCCCAGTAGTATGTTGCTGTGAGGACTTGATTTCTGTGAATGAGCAGCTGCTGTGCTTTGAAAAAGGGGTCATCTTTTATTTTGCAAAAGAAGAAGGATTTATTCCTCACCACTGTGAGAAATGGAAACATTTATCTCCCGCTGCCTCTGTACAACGTATAGCAGATTAGGACATTTATAGACAGGCAAGAGGTGTGATAGATGCATATTGCTCATGTCCTGGCACCCATTTACGGTGCTGCGCATAGACTGTGCTGGGAAGAGGTCTGGCAATTATCCTGTAATTATCTATGAGTTTTCGCTAGACAAATTCCTGCTGAGCTCYGTGGAAGTTCTGCAATTCATTTATGTGCAAATTTGATTGACAGAAATGCTTACAGTGTCAATGGCATGTTCATACCTGAAGGACTTCTGTTCAACAGTCARTTATTTCAGGCAAAGGCAGTTTTTCTGACAATCTGATTGTACTGATCAGTTGGGAAAACAATATTGTGCACTTCTACACAAGAAACAAGCCATGATGGGGGCTTTGGCTTATAAGCTGACATATATGGAAGTGCAAAAATAGGATATGGCCAGAAGAGCCTGAGAATGTGCTCAGAGTGACCCATGCAGAGACATCAGGGCCTGCTTCCCTGGCTTCCCCCGTGGGGCCAGCTGTGCATTTCTAGGTCCCYAGCAGCAACTAAAGGATAGTTCCTAGAGATCCTGCCCTTCAGTGTGGTCTCCCTCCCAGGTACTTACAAAGGGCTGCCAAGCCTTGTCAGACAAACACAAATGAGTAATTGGCGATACCTTTCTTTTACAATATGTGTTAAGATGTGTAGGTAGTTCTGCTTGGGAATAGGGGAATGAAATAATATCACGATAGCTACAGAGAAAATGTTCCAAGTTGGTAATTTCTTACAACTTTGCACTGTGAATCAAACTATATAAAAAAACCAWGAGTACAGGACCAAATGGTAGAATGTTATTCTTCAACATTCTCTTTACCCCTAGAGGCTTTTATTTTTTCACCTTACAAAAATGATGGCTAGAAATCTTGGTTTGATTGTATATTCTTCAAGTGAAAGCTGATATTTTTACATAATCATATGTCTTTGGGAGCCAAAGTCTTAAAAAGACAAAGAAACTTCTGGTAAAAATCATGACAAATGGCAAGATAATGCAAAAAGTTTTCAATTTTTTTTCCAGACTATTTCTAACTTACTACTATAATTATACACTACTATATAATATCCTAGTATATATAATAACATAGCATGAGCTATATTATACCAAGAATTCAACAGTACTGTTATCTTGGACCTTTAGAAAAGCTTTTAATTTAGTTCCTGTAACAGCTTTTAGCACAACAGTATAAAACTGTGTTGCTGGTTGGAATGAGAGGTGAGAAATACATCCTGGGGCACTCCTAGTGTAACTCGATCTATGCAAATTCATAAAAAYACTTCATGGGTGCAAAATTTGACATGAGACCTTCTCACTTGAAGGATTAAGCTGCACTAAGGGTGTGAATTCAAGCAGGTCATGCTGCAGAAAGGTTGAAGCTTTTCTACAGAGCAGATCTCAGTGTGAGCAAAGTCCACCCAAAAGCTCCATGACTGGAACTTCAGCATTTGTCTAATGGGAAACCAAAATCCAAACCTGTGCTTAAAACAGCCAGTGTAGAACAATTATTTCATATGAAACATTCATTTGATTCTGGTTTCAAATGCTGAGTAATGGTGTTTCTGCCCAACATGCATAAATGCCTCTTTTCTGCAACTTCTGAAACAAGTTTCTGTGCTGCTCCTCATGTTCCCTCATTGCATTTTTAAAAACTTAAATTAAACACAAGGCTCTATTCAGCTAAAGAACCCCCCCTGCAGCTGCTAACTGCCTGAGCTCTGGGAGCCTCTTGTGCTCTGCAGATATTAATACAATTCTTGAAGGAAAAATCTCTCCTCTCCAGCAGCGAAGGGGACTTTATGAGACATTCTCTGGCACAGTCCCTTCAACAAGCACAGCTCGACCTCCATCCTTTGGACTGCTGGGGAAAATACCATTCCCTCAGTGAGGGAAGGCCACTGAGTGCATTAAACAGGTGGGTATAAAAATAAGGATCCCGCCCAGCAGAGCTGCTGCTGGCTGCCCACAGAATCTAGTTCTGCTGGGCCTAGTAGGGCAGAAGGGGGCAAAGGCAAAAGAGATTTCTCCTTGGCCAAGCTTAAGCAGGAGAAATTCAAAACAGGTCTATTCCATGCTCTGATATTTGAACCAGCCTTTTTAGATGTAGAATATGGAAAAATATGTGGGTGGAAGGGGTAATTTAGAAGGGTTCATAGCAAGAATCTCTCAAATAAAATAAAATAAAATAAAATAAAATAAAATAAAATAAAATAAAATGTCATTCTGTATGTACTTCCTGTTGTTTTCTAGGAACAGCTACAAGTCTCACCAAAAGAGACTTTTGTCTCAAAGACAGATTAGTGGATGAGGGGATCTTTGAGGCTCCTGATGTGGAGAGGGTGTTGTTATGACTTTAGGCTGGAGAGACTGGTTGTTCCCAGAGAGATAATCCAGACCTCTGCCTAGCTTGTCTGAGCCTTAGTTTCAGAGATTTCCCTTTCAATCTCCTGCAAGGGATAAAGCCCAAAGTCAAACTGATTGGGAATACGGAACTATGAAACAGTGTTGAAATAACTCAGTTATTATATATATACATTATATATATGTAGTTATTTTATATACTGGGTGCAGAGACCAAAATATAACTCTAATTTAGAAAAATAAAAGTTGAGTTTACTATACGTGAGCCTGTGCRAGGCTGTGGCTGAAGGAAACTTTTTTCTCTCTAGATGTCCTACTCATATATAAATATAGTATTTGGCAGTTCAGAGCTTTTTTATTTCTCTGTTGACATGTATTTTAAGATGAGTGGACCTGGGCCAAAAGGTGAATATGCAAATACTTAGTCGCTGTACGAAAATGGTACTGGATTTTCATGGCAGTTCCATTTCTGCTTATCTGACGTGCAGCTGTTTTGTATATTGGTACTTACTGAAATGTGCTTTTGCAAGTGCACAAGTAAAAACATACGTACATAACTGTTCTCCTTTTGCCCGGAATGTCTTCTGCAGGAAAGCTTATGCCTACCTTCTTAAATTACACTTTATATCACACCACTGACTAGTACATTCTTTACCAGTTGCATAATCTGGTGTTTAATATTACATATACCTGTGTACCTGTGTGTTGGTGTTCTCTAATTGTTTGCCAAGTGATTTTTTTATCAGCTTGGCATTGCTTTTTTTTTTTGCATAGGAGATAAGAACATACAGTTCTGTAGAAATATGCTTAACTCCCTGTCTTCCTGAATTTCCACAAAGGCCGGATTTCGACTCTTCAGCTCATTATCCCACAACAGTAGCTATTCAAGTGTGCTTTAAATTGCTTTTACATTGTTCTATATTCAGAGGACTTCAGCAATGCTATTTAAGCTGCTGGTTTCTGCAACTCTTTCAGCTCAATAAATAAACAAAAGACATGAAGCATACACATGGTCCCAGAGAGATAAGCGACAGTTTGGTTCAGGGTGGCACGCAGAGCCCGCGGGACACGCTCCGTGCATTAGTAGCGCGCTTGGTGCCCAGCTTGGGCCAAGCAGGGCTTGTCCGCACGCCCATTCCTCACGGCTGCACCCAGGCACCTGCCCTTGGGGTGCTCCAAGCTCCACAGGCGCGAGCCGTGGGCCGGCAGCGCCGCCGCTCACCTGCACAGCCCAGTGCAGGGCTGTTTTGAAGTCCTTGTCCACCAGGGTGAGGTCTGCTCCCTTCTGCAGCAGCGTCTGCGCGTGCTGGGGCCTGTTGTGGAAGGCGGCCCAGTGAAGGGAGGTCATTCCCTGCAAGCCACAAACCCGGAGAGCAGCAAGTCACCCTCACAGCAGCGCTTTGCACTTCTCTTCTAACACAGAGATCAGCTTCCCAGCTCTGAAACCATTTGACTCTTCCTCCTCTATTGTAAAGGTGGAGTAAGTTGTAGCAACTTCTGAGTGGTGGAGTCATGGGGGGGAAACAAACCATCAGCTTTTGGGGGTTATTACAGAAAACTGATACTAACAGGAATATCTACCAATGCTTAACATGTCTGTAATCCACAATACCTGGTCGGTTGGGGAATAGTCCCTCGTTACTAAGTTTGGATCCTGTGAGAAAGGCCTATTTTAGAGAACTGTTTTCTCGAAAGCATGTGGTATTTATCTTAGGTCTTATCTTTGATCCAAAATAAATATTATAATGAGCATTTTAGCTGGCACTAATCAGCTAGCTAAGGAAGTGGCCCAGTGATGTCTACAAGAAACTCACAACGTAAACACACGATATTTACTGTATAAAGAGAAAACAGAGCAAATGGGAAGCTTTCGGCCTGTATTTTCATTCCATCTTATCTGTGTTGRCTCGGTCAGGAAGGAACAGAGAATTCAGGGTCTATGTTTTTATCCTCATCAGCCCAGTTAYAGCCACTATATTTTACTCTAGGTCCATCATATTAAAGCTTTTCTGTATAAATTTGCTCTGTCAACATATTTCTTAAAAGTTGCAAATTCTGTTCAGATGTGGTAGCACTGTACTTTGCACAAGTGTTATTTACTACCTCTGACAGGGAAAATGAATTTCAAGGCTTTTTCCTGGATTCCAGAAGGATTAAAAAAAAATGGAATGGAAAATAAACTAAAACTTGACATAAAACACCATAAAGCAAATGGCAACAACTCAGGAAAAGAACTAAAAAAAAAAGCACCTATCAAACATTCCTTTGAATAGTTTATCAGTGTGTTAATACTGGAAGTTTTTAGCMGTGATTTTCAGAGTAAAAGCTTCAATCCTCTAACATTAATTTCTCTCTATTCATTGTAAACTTTCCAAGTCTCCAGATGGCTTAAATGTGGATGATGGCAGAAAAAGCAACTCAGCTAGAACTCAGTTAGGGTTGGGAAATCATGGGGCTTTTGGTTTTGTAAAATGAAAAATGAGAGTGAAATCTTGTCTCCACAGGAGCTCTTAATGGGAGCTCTGCCACTGATGCTAGCGGACCAAAATTTGACACAAGGGACTTAGTCCTGTTGAGGGACACAGAACTGTGAGTGGGGATGAGGCTTTAGTTCCAGCTGGGATGAGGATTCCAAAGACCAGTCTGGAAAGCAGAAAAAATCATTGAAAGAGGGAAAGCTACAACGTGCAAGTCCAGCCTATCATCATCCTCTGTAAGTCTGCTGGTATGAACGAAAATTTTCAAGAGCATTCTTGAAAAATGAGCTCTCTGCTCCCACTGTGGTCACTAACAGAGCCATTTGTAACACAGGAATACAGAAAGAGCTGTAGTTGGTAGGAATCAAAGTTCTGCCGAGTCTGGGAACATAACTCAGACATACTACAGGTTAGCAGTAAATGCCTGGGGAGGATATACAAGATATAAGGCCTGGTGACATGTAGCCACCCAACGTTTGGTAATCAGTAGGCTAAAGACTTTCCAATCATCGTGATCATTAGGGCCTCAGCTTGCACGGTGTGAGTATGCATTATATGCAAAAGTACTTCCTTCTTTTTGTTTAAAAGTGGCGCCTGGTAATTTCTGAGGGTGACCCTGACAGTTTAGGTGTAAAAACCAGTGAATAGTCATTCCCTTTTCACCTTCGGTATGACCTTTATGAAACTACACACTTTTATTATCACTCTGACATGCTTGCCTCTCTTTAAGTCCTATTCTAGTTAGTTTATTCTAGTTAGTTTGCCCCTGAAAAGCCATTCTATAACGRTGACCATCTTTGCAGTTCCTTTTCCTGTATATCCTTTTTCAGATGGTTTTTGCCCCCGCTCTTCACGAGGCGGCTGTACCAAGGATTCAGAGAGAGCATCAGGCCGCTTCCTGTTTTGTTCTCTATTTCTTTTCTGATTACTGTACATTCCACGTGTCCTTTCGGAGCACTGAGCCGAGCAAAGGGCATGAAGGTCCCATGGTGGCAGCTCACGTGTGCGGCTGCTCCGAGGTGTGCACAGCGGCAGCAGCYCTACGGGGCGTCTGCTGACAGCCGACTGCTCGCGAGCTAACGCAGGAGAACCATCAAAGAGCTTGGAGAAGGGCTTGAAGCTCCAGCAAAACATGATTTGAAAGAAAGGCGCACAACTGAATGTGAAAAAAAAGAAGAAAGAAGAGACAAAGCAGGAGAAAAAAAGAGTAAGGGCTGATGGATGATGGGCAATGACCGTAGAAGAGTGAAATCCAGAAAAGGAGCTGAAGTAGCAGGCAAAACATTCATTTGCGTTTGGGAAGTTTACACTGATTTTGCCCAGGTTCTGGGCTTTTTCAGGAAATGTATGTTCACATTGTCATCTCCCAGGGTTCATAAGTAAACCCACAGAAAGGCACAGTTGTGGAAACTATGAAACCTCCAGATGTATTTCTTAGTGCTTACGTGTTCATGCATTCATTGGGGTGTTTTTCTCAAGTGTTTTCCTTACACCAAGAGAATGGCTTTGTTTACTGAAATTAGCTGACGACCCACGTTTTTCAGAAAACGTAAACATTCAGGGTTTAGGAATGCTACTTGAACAAATAAACATCTTCTTAGTGCTAGAAGACAGTGAGCTAGACTAAAAGGTCTACATTTCATGTATTGATGCATGCAGCAAAACATCACAGATGGAAAGTGCCAACCAGGGTTTGATATAATTTATTAGTCACATAGCTCTATGCGAAGACAAACTCTGTGTCTGGTTTAGTCTACTGTAAGCAGGATATGCAAAATATCCAGTAGATAAGGGAGAGGTAGATGGGGAGAGATAAAGTTGGCAGCCCTGTGGTGGGCTCTCCAGCTCTGGCAGTCTGGAGTGGAGAAGTGTCCTTGAGCAAGCGCTAGAATGAAACGTGAAAAAGCAGCCAGAGTTTCTCTTGTGCCTTGGCTTCTTTATTTGGAGAAATAGTCACACTGGGAAAACTGAGACTCTCCTGCGCASTGTATGAATATATAAGTATGCAGGGCACAATTCTTTCAGGATCAGAGTAACCTGGCATCATTTTTGTAGCTCCATAGCTGTTCCATGCCATGCCAAGTTTCTCATATTCTCCCTGAGAACTGCTAATTCTTTCATAGTGGGGATTTGGACAAGGTAAAGAGTCAGCCCAGGATCTGGCTCCAGAAGAAAGCAATTTGTGTCCCAGCAAGTGAGTTCAGAGAATTTTTCAAGGTACCTCCTGGTTGGCAGTATATACAGAAGGTTATGAGTCTATAGGTGCATCACACATAGTATGAAAAATGAAACAAGGTTTTGCAAAGTTCAGTAAGGGCATTAGGGAAATCTTAGGTTTGGGCATAGTCTCACCATCAAATTGGTGGTTCTGCAGTTTGGTTCTGCACAGAATGAGCAATATGGCTTGAGGTAGCAGGACTGGGACCTGCAGGGCAGCCTCACTCACCTCGTTGTCCTGATGATTAATTTCGCTAAGATTTGACTGCTGCAGAAGCACATTCAGGAGCCTGCAGGAGCAATGACATAATCAGTGTGTGCACTCCTGACTAAATCTGAAAAACCGACATCTTTCGAGAAACAAAACATGCAATTTAAGGCAAAATCAGTATTAGTTATGGGCACAGGCCGGAGTCTTYGGTTTGGTAATACTAGAAAAGCAAAAAGCAAAAATTATGGGTTTCTGTAAGAAAACCCACTGAGAATCAAAAGCAGACACATAGGGAAGAATTCTTAGGCTGATTGCCAGAGGGGAGTCAGGCTGTGTAATACTGTATGCACGTGCAGTTCTCTGTAACTTAGAAATCTATTGTAGTGCCAAATTATGAAGTTTTAAACAAAAAGAGATKGTAACGACCTGTTTCTAAACTGAGTTTTCAAACTTTTTCACTGAAAGTAATGTAGCGTTGCATATGCGCTTGTGTGTGTTTGTGGCTACCTACGTACATACATACATACATGCATGATTTTACAAAGCCTTACTATGTGTCTACTGGAATAAGGCCATTGCTATGGCACAAAATATAGCAACACTTTGGTTCACATTTTTGTACAAAATCTGATTACAAACACTCCCCTCTGGTGGAGGGAACAGTTACAAAGAATGATGACACACAACACACTATTCAAGTGGAATTATATTTTTAACCATCAGTAGATATTTGTAATGGATTTTCAGTGCTTTCCTTTTCCTTATGTCGTCCTGTGAAAATGTGCTGAAGTCACACTAGGTTTGGAGAAAGTGGTGGTGTCTTACCGAAGAATGTGAAGTATTTGGACCATGCAGGTGGGCGGACTATAGAAACGACAAGGACCATCCTGCCACAGCCTGTGGCAAAACCACGTTTTTAATGTCTAAAAACGAGTCTAAAAAAAGGAAACATCAGTCCTTAGTGCATCCCTATGGAGGAGCAGGATCATAATGCACAAGGGGCTGTGGCTCATCTGGTGGTGTAAGTTTGTTAGGAACCTTCAAAGCATGGATTTTGAAGCAGCACATGGTTTTGCAAGGAGATTAATYGATAAAGTACTGCAAGTAACAAATACAAAACACAGAGGCAGTACTTCACTGTTGGGAAAAATGCTTTTTCTTGAATTCTGAAGACTTTTTGTTTCATTAGAGAGCAACAAGTACAATTGCTCCTCGAGTCTGTAAATTGTACATAGCTAAATGCTTGCAATCATGCTTTTATTCCCACTCAGAGGCTGAATGCAAACCTTTTACTGCTTTTCAGCAGGACAATCTTCAGATGCTTTCAGTACAGTTTCTGGACTGAGCTGTGCTCAAAGGTGTTTCTGGACTGAGCTGTGCTCAAAGGTGTTCATCAGACCAAATTGAGAAGCTGTAGGAGAAATCTATTTGTGTTTGTTTTTTTCAGTAATAAACAACTAGATAGCGTAAGTTTTTTAGAAGGAAGACTTTTTAAATTGCTTAGGGATGTTTTGGGTCATTTTGCAGGTGAAAAGCTGATCTTTTTTTCTAATACCAYGTTCAGGTGGCAGAAGTCCAAATTGAATTCTTTTTTCTAACCCAAGTTCCCTAAAAGATGAAGACTGGGAATATGTCAGTGTTTTATTAGGACTCCAACTCCATTTGTTTGTGGGTGCCATCACTTGTAGAAAAGAGGTGTGAAACCTTCTCTTCTGAAAGACACATCATAATAGAGTAAAAAGGAGGACAGTTTAGGATTGTGGTAATTAGTATGTAAAAATTGTAAAAGAAAGGAGATATTTTATGGCCAGTTGGCACAGTAAATTAAAACAGAAATTCAGAAATTCAGTGTCTGAAACAAGTCTGGATAAAAACAGAATGATGAGCAGAAAAAGGGCAAATTAACTGTAGTATGCTTGAAAAACCCATGTATCACCAGGTGTTATAGTCCTTTACATGGCTCTGCAGTTTAACTCCAGGTATCATCAATGAAAGAAAGGTATTTGAAAGACTCATTCTTTTAAATCCTTTATCTACAAACCTTAGCTCACTCCTATCTTCAGACCGTTACAGCTATAGCATTGCTACCACTCAAATATCTGGATATTCAGCCAGCCCACCTGACAGTCCCCTGGTCCCTACTACTTTTAGGTATACATTTTGTAGACAGATGTCAGGGAGTCTATGGCTTTCCTTTCTACCTCCTAGGCTCTGTGGAACATGCACTGCAGCACGTAACAGCAATTATGAAATCAAGTGATAAATGGCCATAACGTGGGTGACTTCTGTCTCTGTCCTTCCATGCGACCTATGTGCTGCCTCCAGCACACAGACTTGCAGAAATGGGCCACCAGCCTTGAAGGCTGGCTGAAAAAGCATTTCATAGCCGGTCACCACACATGCCCTTTTGACATGAGCAAAGGGGCTGAGCAGCTGGTAGACTGGCCAGAGCAAAGGTGACCATGTGGAACATAACAAGAACATTCAAGGAACTCTGCATGCTGCTCTTAAAGTAAATTACAGTTCCTTTTAAATATCAACATGCCTAGCATTGTACAGACATTGTCTTCTTTCTGCAGAGGCTTTGTTTAATGATAATGCACTGATACCTGTGGAGAAACCACCAGCTATTCCTTCTAAGTGATACATGAAAAGCAGCAATGAAGGTGGAAAATTAAAATTGAAGAGGGAGCTCTGGACTGGTGGCAACAGCAAAACCATGGCCTCAATGATTAGGTCAGATGAACGTTTGCACTCACTGAATATTTTACCTCTCTCTAATGTCTCCTTATCTCCCTAGACATGATTTACTTAGGAGAGGTTTGAGTGATGTATAAATTCAGTGATGTATAAATTCAGTGATGTATAAATTCAGATGTATAAATCACGACTTAAAATGTTGTCAGCTTTCCTATTATCACAGGCTGGAATAAGAAAAAGAGCATCTTCCTGAGATGAGAACGAAGYATATAGGAAGAAACAAAATGTTTGCTAGTCAGCTTTCATTAACAGTAGCTCAAAATGCTAAACCTCACTAAACCTCAGCTTCCCCTTTACAGTGGGGGCTCTCAAAGACTTGGTCTTGTGAGAAAATTTTTCTCACCATCCTGAGAGAAGATGACCAGAGGAAGAGCTTTCTGTAGTATTTCTTGTGGAGAGCTGCCAAAAGAGTACTCGGTCAAGGGAAATGCAGAGTTTCAACTTTTMCTGTAACGGTGTTTGGTTTTGGTTTTGTTTGTTTGTTTGTTTCTCCTACTGTTGAGGTCCCAAATCAGACTCTCTGCCTTTCGTGGCCATATATCTCTGCTACAGAAGTACTGTACAAAGCTTCTCCTCCTCACTACTCCCTTTGTGATAACTGTTAAGCAGAAGAACAACTTGCAAGGATAGCTGTCCCACTTTCCTGGCCTGTGTTTTCTTTGGTGCCAGGTAGCTTCTTTCATTGGCCATCTTCTGATATTCAACCATAAAACAGTGCTGGAGCCGGGACGTACCTCACATCAGGCTCTGCAGTAGCTGCATGGAGTGGCAATCTTCCATTCTTGTCCGGTATGTTCTGTTTAGCACCATTTCTGAGCAGGCTGACGCAGCCTTCTAGCCAGCCCTAGGAAAGAAATGACGTGTCAAAGAGGAAGGCAGAGCACATCAGGCCAGATCCACGCCTGGTGGCTCTGACTTCCATGTGGGACTAGAACCGTTTCGACTGCCTGAGGAACGGGCCTTTTGTTTCCCCAAAATAGGTCTCTCGGCACCAAGAGTGGTTCTCATGTGGAGTGTGAGGCTCAGACTGGCTCACCCACTCATTTTTGTGATAAAATGGTTATTTACATTTAATTTACATTCAGGCTTTTCTGAAGCTGTGGTAAGGAGAGAAAAAAAAGATTTAAAAGCTGTTAATTCTTGTATCACTGGGAAATGCCCCACATATGCCACATAGCCTGCATGTGGATTTCATTATGCCAGGCTAAACCAAGAATATGAGCACTTAATCTCATTTCTTTTAAGGGAATTTAGCACAGATGGCAAATCAATTCTGAAAAGCCTCAGAATGAGGTCTTTTAAACTCTGTTGCAGAAGTCTGAATTAGTGAAAAAGTTAGACTAAAAACAGTATCAAAATAGATGGGATGGTTCTTGGAATAAAACCTCCTATTGATCACCCAAACAAAAAAGCAAGTAAACAATCTGATTGTACTTGGGTAGATCTTCCAGCATTTGCCTCATAGCAAGGAAGCCAAGCCTGTTTTTAAGGTTTTTGCTCCCAGTTCTGCCAGCCCTCTCTAAAAACAGGGAGCTCCTGAACAACCCAAGGGAGATTGGCAGCCCCAGCCTTTACAAGGAAACAGGGGGGAATGAGGGAGCTGGAACCTGCCTGTTGGTGCTCCCGGCAAATCCTAAGGCGATTGAATTCTGCACGCAATGGGACTCTGGAATCCAGTTGAATTCAGTTCTCTGGGCAGGCATCACAGCCAAATGCTCTCTAGACCTCAGATTCCATCCATCATAAAAACAGAAATGGAAACTTTAAAGCCTGGGTGGCTTAAATCTTTTCCAGTCATTTCTTTTTCTTTTCCAGAGAATATTTTTTCCCCTCTGGGAGAAGAGGAAGGAGAAATGTAGCATGACACTGATTGTGGGATTTTTTGAAAATATCTGGCAAAGGAAATGTTTGTTCTCAAGCAAGTGGGACATGTGCTCTGTATTGGAGGAGACTGCATCTTTTGTTACATTCTACACTTATTTTCTGGCTGAATGTCCCATAGCTGAGCCGAAGCATTGTTTTTGTCCTGAATATGCAGGAAGAAGCTAGATGTAAGGGATGTGATTTAATTAGGCACCACTTTATCCATTTATTTATTCAGTGAGCTGGCAATTACCCAGCAGTAACTCATATCATGCAGCATGGGTAAACGTTCCTTCCTCCMTTCTTTCCGGCTAACAAAGGAAGGTCATGGCCAGCCCTTCTTCGCTGCTGACCTGCTCCCATCCTGTCCGTGGGTCCTGAGTGCCTCCCACTGAGGACTAGAAGATGGAGGAGAAGAGGACCCCCTCGGAGTGCGTCAGATGGGGAGCACCACGTCTCCCTTCCTGAAGTCTGCAGTGGGATTTCTTGCCCTGATTTGGATTGCTCAGGGGACTGGATCACTTCTCATCTGAGTATTTGGTGCCTCCGTCAACTTGAACTTAAGGTCTTGACCCCACCGGCCAAGTCCAGTGCTGCAGAGAAAGGCAAAGCTATGTCCTGGCTATGGGGCGTAGAAGAAGACATGCCTGCTAATCCTCCAGAAGCTGAAATAGGAATGGCCTCCTTGGAGCACTGAAATCTGATGCTAAAAGTGGGAGGGGAAAAATCATTTCCATACTAGAAGATAGGAGAGGACTTCAAGTCCTTTTTGAGTGCACAGGAAACCAGTGGCTTCCCTGAATCCACATASAGGCCCCTGGTCTAGTAAGAGCCCCATACATGCACTGATTTGTACAACCTCTAGGAGAAAGGACACTCTGCAGAGAGTCCTGATCATCTTTTTTACAATAGTTGCTCCCTGCCTTAGGTTACAGCAGAGGTTAAAATTTCGCTATTGTCTAGAACTATGCTTTGTACTTCTTTTTTTTCCTGCTGTAGGATGAACTTATATCTTTTCACCCTCCTTGCCCAAGTCTTTGTACCAGATAAGTTGCCAGAGATAAACTGGTTCGTCCACAAGCATCTTGAGTGTTAATATTTGCTCCCATCTTCAGTAGGAGCTTCACTGTATCAACCTGGCGTCCTGACACAGCATGCATCAAAGGGGTGCAACCTGGGGAAGAGAGTCAGACATTCTCTTACAATCTTGGTTGTGTCAAAGGCACAAGATAAAGATATTTTCTCATTTGCTACATTTTGCAGCAGTAAATTAACACATCATTTCTCTGACAAATGTCCAATAGCCGTACTCATTTTTTTTTGTAGGCAGGAAGTAACTTCTGTGCCAACTAGATGACCAATGGTTTTTTTATTAAAAATACATGACTTCATTACAAAAGTCTCATCTCATTAACTCTGTTTTTGGAGGGAAAATTATTTTTCTGTTGACAAAGTGCCCAACATGAACTGTAGGCTTTGTATACCATTTTGCAGGCTGATATTCCTCAAAGTGAATAGTAGCCTAGTGCTTGGCTGCATTGCTCAAAGCCCAGCTTCAGGGTGCATTCAAAAGATGTGTGAAACGAAGCCCTGTGCCATGCAAAGGAGGGTATGTCTGAGATGCTGTTTTAGGCAGGCAACAAACTCTTTTAAAGACTTGCCTTTGCTCTAGAGCATTTTCTCTTCCTCCACCTTCAGAACCTTGTATTCTACAAACCATTTGCTGGATAAACTGTGAAAGCTGGATAAGCTGTGAAAACTTAGTACTCAAATTTCATCATGAAGTATTATGCTGTCTTTTAATTCTTATTATTTCGTAATTCTTTATTTTTCTTCTTATATCCAATCCCTCTCCCATTAAAGATCTGGAAGACTGAGATGTCAGCTTGACTGGGTGCTCGCTTTCTCCACTGACAATACATTGTGGACAGAACAGTTAACATGTCTGAATTAAGAGCAAGAAAAATTTATAACCTGGTAAAAGCTGGTGAAGATTAGAATATGCACTGCTCCTATGAATCCTATARAAAGAAACTGCAGTAAAAATACTCTTGAACATTTCTCGAGTGAAACTTACAGAGATTTGTGTTTCTAATTACTTGGGAAATAGATGCATATAAAACCCTGCAAATTGATAGCACTTTGTGATAGCATGATATAGAAGCCTGAGTACAAATGGAAAAGGAATGCAGTCTCAAGGATAAAAGAGATCATTTAGTTCAGTGTAGATGTGCACTTATCCCTTTGCCCAACAATTCCGTGACAAATTCTTTCAAATCTGTTTGTGTCTCTGCACACACATTTTCAGTGCAAAGGATGGAGATCTCTGCTCCAGAGATGCCCAGAATGTACAGCCTTTGGCTCTGCTAAAAAAGATTCTTCCTCTTTCTCTGAAATGACAGCAAAAGCCACTTAAAGAAGATAGATTCATGGTAAAGTACCATCCAATTATATCAGTTCATCTTGTACCTGAATAAAAGATCGTACATTTACACGGGCAAAGAAATATCCAAAGTGTGTATTTCCAGCAGCTATCCCAAAGAACACCTCAATTTTCCCACCTTCTGCTCTTGTATATGATTTGCTGACCATGAAACTCAAGATAAAACAAAAGGAAGACGATCACAGCTCGGTTGCGGCCCGCAGCAGCAGGACTCACTAACCCTCGCTGTCGCAGCACTCCAGGATGGAAGGGTCTTCCCGAATCACCGCGGTCAGGGTGTTCACGTCGCCCTGAGCTGCTGCTTGGTAAACCACGGTCAGGTCCAGCTCTTCTGCCGCATCACCTGCAGGGACGAGCATGTGTGTGAGTGGGCAGGGGCCGGGGACAAGCCCCGAACAGTGCAAGTAATGGTATGTATTTCACTGGCTTTCTGTGACTGCGTAGTCCGAGGTGGAACAAAGTGTATCCAAACACCATTGTGCTCTTCATTAGTCATCTGAATTCCTTTTGTGGCCACTAAATGCTTCCCCAAACTCTCAGACATAGACAATGGGAGTGACATAAGAAAATCCCTTGAAAGGTTCAATCCCTTATAAGAAATCATAATAACATTAGCTGAATGTGAACTGAGAAACAACAAACAACGGAACTATCTTGTAATATTAATGGCTATGCTTTTATGAGATAAAACAGCATAAAGACAGAAATATTTTCAGTTTCTGTTTTGTCCTTGTATCAGTCAAAAGACTGAGTTTTTTAACTTCCTTCCTCTCTCTGAGGCAACCAGAGGAATTCTCTTTTCAGAAAAAAAATGAATTTCTGGCAGTTCTGAGTGCTAATAATAACTGAAAAAAGGAAGAGTGAACTGCTGGTTGGGACCTAGGAAGGGTTTGTTGTCTTTGGCACTTACAGGATGGGGAAGAAGGCTTATCTAAAGCAGAGATAACCTGAGTCCAGTTGGGATGTCTGATCAACTGAAATGCGCATCAATGCACTTTCTAGGGAGCTTCCTTGTGGATAGAGAGGGSATGCCTGGGCAAGGAACAGCTGAAACTACCACGACCAGTCTTCTATTAGTGCCTAATTCTCTGGGGCAAGGAAATTCTCTCATCTTTGAGGTCATTTTATATCCTCAGTTGGTACAAAGTGATCTACAGAAGGCAATCGAGTAAGCTCCATGATGGTGAGAGATGTGGAAATCTGCAAAACCACCATGAGATCATCTGTTAGGAGGCACTACCCAAAAGCACAGTATTATTTCGCTGTGTTGCAATGTATTGCACTATTTAATGTGAGTGCAGAATGAAAGGGAAAAAATGGCCTAAAGCATTTATCTTCTGTGATTTTATATGAAAGTATAATTACTGTATGGATAGAGTAAAATTAATACTATAAAACCTCGCGGGAAGTTCATCACTGTGAACTTTTTATTAATTATTTTACACCAACTACAGCATTTATTTGGGCCATTAAATATTTAGTAATGAGGTTAAAACACAAAAATGTGTTCAGTTTTGCTCAGTTTGGGAGATGTTTTGTTTTTGTTTCCAAAATGCCAGCATTATAGTCTGATGTTCAAGGCCTACATAGTCTGGCTGCTGAATTAGATAGTGATTTAGATGCTGAGTTAGATATGGGCATCTCTAGGATTATGTTTAATGTTATGCTTCTATATTAAAATCCAGTATTCACAAACACATGGCTGTTAGGAGCTAGACTGACAAAGAGGACTAAGGCATCCACCTTTGTTGGCACTTAACCCCACTGTGAGGCAGGCAAAGAAAAGAGGCCTGGAAAGCCCCATAGCTTCATCTAAAGCACACAGTGAACCAGTTCCAGAGGAACTGAAAACTAAATATGCCCTTAACTGAACGTGAYGAATTCATGGTGGAAAGATTTTTCTGAGTGTTTTAGGAGCTCTACTGGGCACTCAGCAATGATGATTTCTATGAGTTGTTGCTTATAAAGCTTTTTCATTACTGAATACTCCTGTATGTCTACCACTTGCTTTTATATGGCATTTTATAATTTAGAAAGATTTCTTGGAGGTCAAAATGACTAATTGTCAAGCATCAGTTATACTTTCATGGTTGGGATTCTGAAACTACTTTTCAATCATTTTTCTACTCTGAGTCATAGAGATATAACCTATGTGGGGCATGGTGCTTCCTTTGTTATCCTTATCTTCTAATGCACAGTGATTGAAGTTGCATTATTCTTATGACTTTCTGCCTAGTGAATATGAAACACAGGTAATTAGCATATGAGGGCCTTACAGTAGAAGAAAAATCAGCTTGAATGTGCCTTTTGAAGCCRTTCTTCAATGCTGTCCAGATTTTTGTAAGTACAGAAATGAGCGAGGTCCATTTTCCGTGTTCAGTTTATCCCCTCACCTGCAACTTCCTTCCAGATTGCTTATGCACATCTACACCTCCTTTGGCTTCAAAGGGAGTATTAGCCCCATGAGTCAAAAGAGGATTTTTTGTGTGTGTAGGAACAAAAATCTGACATCCTGGTAAAACGTTCTCGGCGCAGTGTCGGTCAGCTGCAGGATCATTTTTAATTTAAAAAACAGGTGCTTCTGAGCACCTTTAGCTCAAAAAGAAATATAGCTATAGTAAGCCTAGCAATTTTAAAGCTCATTAGTGTAGCTGGGGATCAAAATTAGAGAGTATAAGATTGGTCCAGCCACTTCACTACCTTGCTAAAGGGGAAAGTTAAAAGTGATGCCTAACTCACACTAGAGTTAATCAAAGTAAAGACAAATGGAGCGACTGGTGACTTTTCTTTATGTCATTTGGGGGTAAATATGTAAGCTGTGCAGAAAGAAAAAGAATGTTTTAAAGAGAGTTTGAAAAGACTTAATAAAAAATCTTTTCTCTAACCATATAATAATATTATCATTAATGCATTGTTGTAAATTATATTTATATTTAGAATTGTCCTCGGGAGTTTTGGATGATAAAAGTTCTTTGAAGAGATTCTTTAAGTATGTGCTCTACCATTCCTATTTGTGATCACACGGTGCCATAGCAGAATTCCCATTAGTTCCACACGACAATTTACAATCCAGCGTAATTCCACACATGTGACCTTCTCTCCTCGGGACTCAATCATCATTCTCTGCTTTAGAACTTGGCTACCATGGAGACAGAATCAGCCTTCTCCCTGGGAAAGGACAGTCTGTCAAACCTGGGGCTGTGATTACAGGCTTGGAACATTACGAAGCTCATATTCAGTCAGTCTTCACCAACGCRCAGATTTCTATTCACTACTCAACTGAATGAATTATGTCTTTTGTTCTAAGTTGTCTTTTAAATTACACATTTGATAAAATTTGTAAGCGAAAAACGTTAACTTGCCATCTGCAATAGCAGAGTGTAAATAGCTCAGAGAACTGGTCATTTGGCACAGGCGCTTTGACGCGYGTGCTGTTCAGGCTGCTTGAATCGGGGGAGACTAAGAGCCATTACCTTGTGAGGGTCATCACCAGTGACTAGTGCATGCAGAAGGAGGAGGATTTACCACAGGGCCCATTGTTCAGATTTCTGTATCACAACAAGCTGCTCTCACAACAGGTAAACTCAGACAAGAGGGTTTCAAAGCAAGTCCATGCCCGAACTAATTCCTTACTTGAAGAGGGAGGCACTAGGGGCTGGTGGAAGACCAAGGGACAAGGCAGAGATTTCAAACTTGCATTGCTCCTTCTCAGTGAGTGAGTCACGCTGTGCAGGTGCCCAAGAGGCAGCAGTCACGAGCTGGGACAGCAGCTCTCACACCTATCTGTGGTGGTCATTAAGTGGGAATGGAACGGTGAAGGCATTGCTGGGAAGGGAAAGAAATCATTGGATGCGCTGGGATATATAGGGTACCAAAGGGACCCTCACCTCGTATTATGCTTTACACATGCAGATTTTATCCTTTTTGCTGTTTGGGATTGTAAGTACTATCATTTTTTTCTGACATGAGTCAGAAGGAGAGCCATCTGGCCAGAAAAGGAAACTCTCAATCTAGGGAGCAGAGCAATTGCTTACCCAGAGGGCAAGAAGGCAGGGAGGTCAGAGCACAGATACACACCCACCCGTGGTCCACTGGTTTCCTCTGCTCTTTTTTATATGAACTAAAACCTAAACACCTCCTCCTCTATGCCTGTGCTGGGCTGGATCTGCATTTCTCCTTCCAGTACGAGGWGAGGAAGCAAAACTTTGATTGAGTGAATGGGTTTTCCTGTGCCCGCTCACCCAGAACATCATCTCTCTTCCTCTTAAGGCTCAGTGGCAGAACACCACGTCCAAGCTCTGTGCCTCCCAAATCCTAGCCTGCTCACGKGAACCCTTAGCCCATAGTGTGAGGAGAGGCAGGTGGCTGAGCTGATGCAGCTGGGGGACGCTGGACCGGGAGGGTTGAGGGGTGAGGATGCTACCTACTACTAATGAGACCTACCACTAATTCCATTTCTGTTGGCTGAGCTCAAGGGCCCGGTCACTTTAACCTGAGCAGTGTGGATGGGTGGCTCTGGGTGAAGGAGGAGGAGGAGGAGGAGGAGCACAGCTGCATGATCTGATGCTTCATGCAACAGGGAGCCAAATGCCTGGCTCTCTGCTACCTAACTTACTGTCCTGCTGTTCTGCGAATATCAGTGAGCACTCTCTCTGTTTCAGGCATGTTTTTAGATTTTTTTTTTAATTACTTGCCTCTCATAAAAGGAAGCTGTCAGTCAGCTTCAGGAAGGCAGAAATTATAATAACAGCCTGTGAATGGAGCAAGGGAAGGGAAAAACTGCAGGCTGCTACAACAATGGCATAGAAAGATCTGGAAGAGTCATGATAAGCAAAGACCAAAGGACATACATGTCTGTGACATTTTCTTTTGTAGTTAAGTACTTAAAAAGAAAGTTAAAAGCCATTCTMCCTGAAATAAGGAGCAGTGTTTCCAAAATGCATAATTTCTGTCATATAGAATAATAATCTTTTGGTTTGAAAAGAGGTAGGTAAAATAATCATCATAAAGAATGATCACAGGATTCAGACAGTTATTCATTTCACGCTTCTGTGACTCTCAGATGAAGACTGTATTTTGGTTTGCACCACTTGCAATGCTGGCTGATCTCTTGCCTTATCAAGTGCATAGTATATRTATGTAAGTGCTTATTTTCCCCTACATTGTGTTAAGATGGACAGTGCTGCAGTTTAGTTGGCATGGTCTTGTCAAGGAGAGATTTAGATGTGAATTTTGAGAACAGAAACATGGATCCCATAGTAATGTATGTTCAATSTAAAAAAAAAAAAAAAACTTGTGTAATTGACTCCTCCCCTTTCATATAAATTAGCTCTTCAGGTGAAACTTTATATGATTTCCTATAGCTTATCAGCAGGACCACCTGCTTCACAAATCATAGGCATCTCCCTGGCCTGGCAGCAAGAGCCCCTTAGTGTCCGTGGACAGCCAGAGGAAGAGGAGTGTAGTTTTTGGAAATCATAACTAGCTCCCAAACATTAWGGGCTTGTTATGGACTTAACAAAATGATAATTCCTGCATGTGCTCGGACAGGAATGTATGGATCCAGGCCTTTGTCTAGCTTCTCTGTTTAAACAGTAAACATCCTAAGTCCTTCTGGAGCTTCTAGAAATCCCACATCACAGCAGCTCGTACTGTTTATAACTAATATATTAAAGAGCAATATAATTGCAAAAGTCAAAAAGAGACATACAGTTTTCAAGCTGGTCATGCTCTTTTTGTAACCAGTAGTCGGAAGTTCCCACCTCTTGCTTCCTCTATTCCCACTAAGGAATAGAAGGAAGAAAAGAAATATTTTATTGGACCAGCAAATACTGATGGGGTGTGTCTGAAAATGTGCCAACATTTTTCCATTTGTATGAACTGGACCAGTGGAAAATATTCCYACTCTCCTTGCTTTAAGCAGTAAAGTGCCAAGGCATTAATACGTATTTAGAGCAAAGCCACCATGCACTGTAAATTTTGTGCAGTGCTTTCTTTGCCTGATGACTAACGGGTTCAGCGTCCCCGCACTGTGTGTTGCCGGCTCTGCTGCCTTTCCGCCTCCCACGCGGCTGCAGGGAAAACTGCCAGTAAAGCACGGATCATCTAATGACCCAGCARTTCTTGCTGTGCGGGTGGAGGTGGGGAATGGTGAATTTATCCTGAAGGAACTCCTGCTGGGAAGTGCTGTGCCTGGGGCTCGGGCTGGGAGAAGATGCTACATGGAAATAGGGACACAGAGTAGCCTGGCTGGAGGAGGGATGCASAGTAAAAGCAAGGGGAAGTTCATGACAGATGCTGTCTAGCAGCTCGCTCACTTCTGTCCAGGTAATGTGGTTTGGATCAGTGCTCTGCATTGCTGTCTGCTCCCTTTTCTGTCAGGAGGATTSTCTTCACTGCTCCTTCCCCAGTTGTGGCCATTTTCCAGCCTCATTTCCTGCTCTACTTCCATRAGCCCCCTAGTTGGGAGCTGCAGTGAGTGTGCAGGGTGTCTCCTCTCCCTCTGCAGTTTGAGCACAGCTGGGTGGCATCTTCTTAGTGGCTGCTGGGTTTGGTTTGAGTTTTGGGAGATGCAGAAGCTCAGTCACAGGCTTCATTTTTTTTTCAGAGAAAATCTTCCTTCCTTCCTTCATACCTGACCTGGACAACTTGTCTCCATTTCTGCAGTACACATTTCCCTTCCACTTTTACACTTCCCTTCCTCCTTTATCCTTGCTGGTGGTATTTCTGTCCCTTGTCCCTGTTTTATACTGGGCTGGTGCTCACCTGCACTCTCACGACGTGCTTCAGGCCTTGGGGACTGTTGTTGCACCAGTAGGAAAGGTAGATGTAAGTCTGCTGCTTTACATGGAGGGTGCTAATTGGGGGTGACAGGGAGACAAGGAGAGAACATAAAGCTCACAGCATTTTCTGGCAATCTGTGGACATAAATTGGACCATGCCTTAGGAGAACATCTATCTGCTTGGGCAAGGAGCAGATGCTTGGCCAGCTGGCCACACTGAGWAAACCTCAAGACCAACTAATGACTGCTTCATTTCAGGAGGCCATTTGAAACTCAGGACCCCAAGTGAGCAGAGGCTCCTGGGTGCTATGGATGTGTTGGAGCATGGGCCAAAGCTTCAGGCCCAGCTGGTGCCTACCAAAAACCATCGCCTGTCTTCAGGTGGCTCTCGTCCTCTGTATGAGGCCAGCGGACCATGGACGCCAAGCACAAAGGCACAACTTGTGGGTACAGGCACCCAAAGGCATCTCTCTTGCCCCTTCTCCTGCCCTGTCTTTCTGCAGGGTCTGCACTTTTGGTTTGGATCCRTCTTGGCTTGAGCAACTGGGGGACTTGGCGGGTGTGCGCTGGCAACTGTGGCCACTGCCCACAAATAATGTTGTGAGGTGACTTAGAGTGAAATCTGCTGCAACAGGGATCATCAAAAAATGTCAGTTTCCAGCTCTGAGGACATAAAGGGAATTGCTCTGCATTCTTTATGGAGGGACTCTCTGCATTTCTCATCTACCCTCTTAATATTAAGTCATAAAAGGTAAAGACAGGTATAGGCAACTAAAGATATAAAATTCAACCATTTAACTTAAAAACAGGCAAAAAAAAAAGGGATATTTGTATTTCCATGGCAACCTAAACATGTAGAAAATCTTCACTTTGAGGCTTTTTAAGATATATTAAACTCATAGATATGAAAGTAGTTACGTAGTATAGCTAGAATTTACTAAAGCAAAGACAATCACTTGTCAGCATCTGCTCCTTTCAACATATCCACATTAGTAGACTTGTGAAAATCAGTTTTTCATAAWTTTTTACTCCAATTGACCCTACTTGCTAATGTTGCAATTGTTATATATGCATATAAACACAAATACACAACATAGTAAATATGCACGTACATCACTAAGCACAAAAGCAATCAAATGCTGTTGCTGTTCTGCAGAAATCTTCTATTTTTTAATGTAACTGTAGCCAAAGACTGAAATACCCATCTCTAAAATTGATGAAAGTCCCTCAAGTGGAACCAGCATTAAGTCRCCCTCAGACCTGACCTTTTCCAATAATTCCTGTCATTGATTCTGCCAAGGAATCTTAGTACAATTTGCATGGGAGGCACAGGAAGACCAGAGGATTTTGAAATCAGTAGCAAGCGACTTACCTTTGTGCTGATCRAACACCGAGGAGGAACTGAAATCCATTGTGGTCTATCTATTTCATTATTTGCAATCAGACCCGGCAAACACCAACTCCAGGGTTTCCAGGGAAGAATGCCATATATTAGAGTAAACAATATATTCAGCGATAGCTGTCGCCAGTCTTCTTGCCAGGGAATTAAACTTGCTTTACGGCTGCAGGTTGTTGTCAAGGCAAGGTCACCGGCACAGGAGGAATGGAATATTCTGTTTGTTATGGACCTCGTAGAGTGCCGCCTCTGGAAGCTGAGGGAGGATGGCCTGGAAGCTCGGGGGGCTCCGTGGGCTGCCGTGGGCAGGCAGGGCTCTGGTGCGGCCGCCTGGGTGTCTCCTCCGCCGCCGCACGGAGCATGTGCAGAGCGGCGGCCACCACGGCCCTCCCTGCGGGCGCCCGCGCCACACGGCTGCGGCCTCAGATGGGGCTCTCRGGGTTCAGCTGTTCACTGATTTAACCCCTTCCGAATAATTACAGTTGTCAATATGCAGGGTTCGCACAGCAGGGTTGTCAGTATGGGAGCACGTTACCGCGCTCGCAGTGGTGGCTGCCACAGCCGCGTGACACGTTTAATAATTCACAGCGTCTGCTCTGAACGCCTTGCGTCAGTCAGACCGAGAGGGCACCCACATCTTCTGGCTCTTTCTTTAATCGAGCTCATCCTTCCGAAGTTGGGAGCTTGGTCTGTGTGCTGTGGGGGAGAGGGGTGTTGCTTTTTACTGGGATGTGTCCGTGGTAGAAGGAGCAACAAATGGGCTGACTTGGAACTTGCTTGGAGAAGCGGATCACCAGCGATGCCCGCCGTCTGGTGCGCTGGAGGGTATAAAAACTTTACTTAGAACTGGTGCACTGAAAGAGACATATCGGCACTGATGAATAAGGAAAAGTATTAAATGAAAATTAAGAACAGCAAAGCAGTTTTGGTCTAAGGGTACAGAGAGGACCTACCCTAAAGTAGGCCTAAACTTGGTCAGCCTAAGAGCTCCCTAGACTATTTTCTGTATTGATTTTTTTTCTGCAGTGTTGATGATTTCACTGACTACAATGGAGGCTTAGAAAAATAATTTACATATAGACATTCTACATACATAYATTTAGGAGTTGAATCGGACACTGATTCACATCCCACAAACCCACTTTTGAATCTAAATCCAAATGATGTTTTTAGAAAGAAGACAGAATGGTCCAGGCAAGTACAGCCTTGTAAAGCCTTGAAACTGAAGGCCAGAGCTGAAATTTTCTAAAGTGCAACAGTGTGATGTACTTAACTGAGGAGAGCTCTACTCAGCTTGGAGTGGAATTGTGCCTATGGACATTGATTTTATTTCTTTTTCCTTACTGCTGACTTGTCAGTATTCTGGCTTTTCTTTTTGTGCTGAGGAAGGACCCTCCCTGAGGTACGTGCTGTCTGTGCAGAGATGCAGGAGCACAGTGTCGGTGTGCAGACAGGCAGCTCCTAACTGCCCGCTCTGCCCCATTAGAGGTGCTTAGCTTGTAGCTCCAGCTCCCTTTGGGCTCACGGGACTGTCCCTGTGGCCTCATGCCCTGGCTTCACTCAAGAGCTGCCACGACTGCTTCCTGCTGGAGACACACACCCTCACGTGGAGCCTGTCAAGCACTTCCAACTGCAAATTATCACCCTAGATGATCTCAAAAGCAGCCTTTGCTTCCAACATCTGACAAGAGGTCCTCTGTGGACCTTCCGCTCTGCTCCTGTTATTGCTGTAGCCTAACTGTATCCGTGCATTAGCCCAGGAATGAGGCACACTGCAGGTGCACGGCCAGGGGATCTGGAGGAGAGACATTGGAGACCTGACCCCTTGCTGTTCCGTGGAGGGCACAAGAGAATTCCCTTTGGCGYTGTGTACACTCCCTAAGGGCTCAGCTCACCCGTCTTCAGCTGTGGGAGAGCCAGGTACCTCCCCTGAGGTAGGTGTCCATGTTCCATAGGGACAGACTGTGCTTGTGAGCTGGCACCTCCTGCCGTGGGTGTGCAGGGACCCAGAATTTAGCACATGTAACCACTGCCTGGTTGCCTACATTTCCCACASAGGTGGCCTAGTTTAGAGGGCTGACTTGTACACAGCTAAAATGAAGCAAGATGAATTTCAGCTTTTCCTACAGGAAATTTAAAAAGTGAAAAACCTCTTACTCTTTTCTCCACTGTTGCTCCCCATTTGCCAAGTACTGCCAATACTGGAGTCTGTGGTGACTTCACTTCCCAGCAGAAGTGCAGCGCGAACTGGATGGGAGGATGCTGACATCTCCTGTCCCAAGASAGACATTTTCTGGTGTTATCCCTCACACCATCTTCCTTCTTTTCTCTTACCCACTCTTCTCAATAGCAGCCCTCCCTCCTGCCCTGTAGCCTGCCTGTTTACCTGAGACATAGAGAAATACCTCTGCCCAGGAGGACATGGGCGCTCCTGTGCAGGATATATTCATATATATGTGTGTATGTGTGTATTGTGTATTATATATTTGTAATAAAGATTCAGATGAAATTAATGAAATTGTTGTATACAGGGATGAAGAGCAGGACTAAAACCTGGTGATGCTGAGGTATCTTAGCCTGCAGCTCCTGATGACACCTGCTGTGTGGCACATTGCCCTCACTGGACCAGCAGTGCCTTCTCGTAAGGAGCACTCCAGGAGCTGGCACCACAGCATTGGTGTATTGCAAACCTGAATGTCTACAGACTCAGTATTGCTTGGTAAACATATCATATAGCAGGCATAAGTCAAAATGAACAAAGGGATAAAAAAATCAACCTTCATTTTCAGTTTGCAATAAAATCAATGAATAATTTGATTATAAAGTATTTAAACCATGATGCTATATATAAACTACCTTCTGATTGGATTTGGAAGTGAATGATTCAGTGTTAGGCAGTGATAAAGTTAGCACCAAGCTCATAATCCCACCAAGATGGATAGCCTGGGCTGTGCTGTCCAGTAAGGCCTGAGCCAGGATCCACCCAAATGACGACAATCTCTCTTAAAATGTCAGTGGATTAGCAGGGATTAGAGAATGGAGAATAAAGTCACAGATAGATCTTACAGGTTCCTACCTGAAATGTAAGACAGACTGAGGATCCCTTCTACTCTGCTCCCTGCTTTATAAGGCCAAATACATTTTCTGCTAAATCTGTGTGAATTTATGCCCCTGACTTAAGTGCAGTCGAGATGTCTCCCATGGTACAATTGTTTTCATTATCACTGGGCTCCGATGAGGCAGATACAGTAAGTAACAAGCCAGCCATGGCAGAGAGGCCACCTGTAATTATAGCAGTGCTGTTAACCAGCAACTGGCTTTCTGGGTATTGCTTTCTCAAATAATTACCTGTTTATGGTTAACTAAACCAAATCATTTTTTTTCTCGAACTGAGTGTTGTGCACTATTTAGGAGGAGTGAGAGGTATCCCAAAGAGTTTATCACCCCCTATCTTTCATTCTAGAATGAACCGGCTTTAAGCTGTCATGTAATTCTGTGCAGTTCCAGTAGATGGTGGAATTTGATCAACACTTGATTCTTTGAACTAGTAGGAACAGCTCTAACGTAGTGACCACTTTTCTATTAGACCCTTTTAAATGGAAAAAGAAAAGCTTGTTTGTGGGAAACAGGTAATCTTTGACATTCAATACATTAAGAGTCTCTGCAAATTAATGAAGCCCTTTACAGACACCATATAATGAAGCAGAGCATTACTGATCAGCWCTCCATGAAGGACAAGCCCTGAAAGTCTCTGATATGCCAGGACAGTTAGGTCAAGTCCTCTATGGATGGTACTGGGATTAACCATACAAGAGGTTCTGCTTGTGTCTCATTTCAGGGCTGTTGGCACCATTCTGCTTCCGAGTGTTTCCTGCAACAGTTTTCCTGTGAGACACARAAAAGGCTGGTCAGGAATGTGGCGGTGACGCTAGAAGCACTGTGTGTTACAAGCAGGGTTGTGTTCAGGTTGTGCAGTGCCACCTGCACGGCAGGACTAGGCAATGTGACAAATCCAAACCACACAACTGAACAGGAAATGTGAGCGGGAATGCAGTTCTAGGAGGAACTGGCTAATAAGGAAACCAATTCACCCCCTACTCCTGGGCACTTTCATACTATGTCAAGTATCTGGTCCAATCTTCTTTGATTGTAGAAGCAGCAGGAATCCCTATATCGTGTCACAGGATTATTATATCACTAGAATACCCTCTGTTCCTCATTGATGTTTAATGACTGATACCAGTCATCCACACTTCCTATTTTTCTRCTGCAACCATGGAAGCACATGCCTTCCTTCCAGGCTTGTTTCTTTCTCTGAATATCTTCTCTGCCTATTAATGCACAAATCRTAGGAGAATAATAAGCCAAAATGCTACACCCATATCCTTATACAGTGCTCTCTCTATGGATTTCAGCCTCATATTATGATGGTGTTTCTATGCCAGATTAATTCCTGGTCTTTGGAAAGCTGGGATGTGTGAAAATCCAGAGAGCATCAGTCCCTGATGTGTGAAAATCCAGAGAGCATCTTCAGTCCTTCCCCACACTGCATTCCCCATTCCCCAGTTCCTCACTGGGCTGGAGATATGCCATATTTCAGGGAAACTAGTTAGAACACAGGGAAAGTTGTCATGGCCCAGCTTCAGCCAGGACAACTCAGACATGAACAGTTATCTGCTGAGAAAAACAGTAATGAGAAAAAAGTTTTAATGGGGCCAATCGCAAATGTCATTTAAAAGTTGAGTATCAGATTTGACACAGCTCCAGGAGAAAAGCTTTCTGTTTCCTTCATTCACAGATTTTACTRTTGTCCCGCGAAATTTTTGTTTTTATTAATACAACCTGGAACCAGCTTAGCTCTTCAGCTGTTGACCATTTTCCTACTCTACAAGCAGAAGTGCATACAATTGCAATGGCAGGTGCCAAATCATTGTGTGTGTAACTTCATCAGTGACCAGTCTGACCCAGATATAAACAGGCAAATAGCAGAGCTGCATAATGTTGCATCAGAAACTGCTCCTCTTGACTGGCTTCAGAGTGATTGCAATGAGGCATGTCGTGTGGACTCAGTGAGCTGCATCTTTTTCTGTTTGGAGTAATCAAAAATACGTGTCTATGTAGTTTTTGATTATCAGTATTTTACATTGCATAGCAAAGGTGTCTCTAAGCCTAAAAGATGAGAAAAACTAGGTGCCTATAGCATGCGAACT